TTCCCTATTTTGTAGAGGTGAGATCAGGGAGACTACAAACAAAAGAAATGGTAATCTTCTTTTCACTGTAGTTTATCCCAAAATTGATATTCTGGGAGGAGAATGCCTTTAGTCTCTCAGTGCAATCAGTGTCAAGGCATCGCAGGAAACCTTTGGTACCGTAAATGATTTAAAATGTAAAACAGTTGAAATATATGGGGGAACTTTGTGTTCATGCTCTTGCGAACACACTGCCTACACTGTCAGACTGTCACACTCTCCTTCCAGCTTGTTACAGGTTATAGTGCAAGCTGTTGCAAGCTTGTCAGTGCAGGTGCAAGAGCGCCTTCAGGAAATCGGACAGGACTGTAGGTTGAAATGGAAGCATAAAAATACAAGCTTTGGCATCTTTTTCTGCTATTGCACATTCATTTTTTACCTAACCAAGTGAACTTTTCAATATCGTTAAATGGACGAGAGGGGCAAAACAGAAAACATGCTCCAGCCCAAATTGTGTACAGTTAGGAAAGTGTCCCTACCTGTCTTCCTCTTTGAAAGTTAAAAGCTCCATCAACCAAAATAATTCTTACTTGGCTCCTCAGATAACAAGTAGTACGTGTACAACCTTCACACCAATATGAGCAGAATCTTTTCACACATCTTTTGTGTGAAGGTCAAAACCCGACATAATCTATTGATGGGTAACAAAAAAATGAACAAATAGGAGATGAGAATACGATAAATACATTTTATGTAATTGTATTGTAGCTAATTTATATTTAGTTACATATAATAATAATAATAATAATAATAATAATATGTAATATGATTTAAATGCATTTTAAAATTATTAGTATTTTGTTTTCCTGACACATATGTTCGTATCAAATCATTAATTAAGTTTTAATTAATTTAATTAATTTATTTACTAACTCACAGTTAGTGGACTCTAAACTCATAAAACACTGGCCAAAAACAGAAAAGCTTGTAAGTTTGTCTGTCATGGCGTTTCATTGAACCGTGGATGACTCTGGAGTCTTCTAGTCCTGGCGATCACTTGTATTTGTTCATTGTGGCATCTGTGCTGGATAACCTCCTAGATTTGGTATTTAGCAGAGTCCTGTCCAGGCCATACTAACACAGTGCTGACAGTGATTATGGCATATAAACACTTGTACTTTATGCACATGCACATAACTCTGAAGCGGCACTTAATTTTCTTTGCCAGGCAGAATTCGTTTTCATTTGTTTTAACTTTGGATTTGTTTGTGAGCAGAGTATGTCAAATTGTGACAACAGATTGCAGTAGATTGGTGCACAATAAGATCATGAGAAAAGGGAACAAGTTGTTAGTGCCTGGTGCAGGCCTGGATCAAGGTACAAACCTTATTTTTTTTAATTTCTTGGAATTTTAAGTTGTTTTTCGTCATGCCTGAAGCATGATTTTTTCGTTACTCTTATGCTGGCTAAAATGCCCTAGCAACTTCTTTGCTTGGATTGACATGGCATTTGTTGCAGACATATTAGCAGAAAATAACTGTAATAACTTTGATACATTATTTATTTTTATCTAAAATTTGACTTTGTCTAATACAACCTGATTAGGGACCTAATATTAACTAATTAGTACAAGTAGTAGTATCATTTTTGTGGTAAAATACCATGGTGTCATTAGCAATACTGCACTATTAATTTACAAAGTTGGAGGGCCACTGTCTGAAGAAGCTACCACTCTACTGCTTAACCCATCTATATTATTCTCTCTTCTACTGAGTATTGAAGTTAATTAAAACGTACAACATGCATTGTCATTACAGGTGAAGTAGCCTTAAAGCAGTTTCCACCAACAATGTTTAAAATGAGAGTAACGCGTCTGCTGTACTGAACACCTCTGAGGAACAGAAATTAACAATGAAATTAAATATTCTTCCTTTTTCATGTTTGCTTGCATATTTTACACAATGCTGTAGAGTGAGTAGGAATATTCCAACGATGGACTATGTAATGTGATACTTGAATTAAAACAGAAAAAGTTCTTGCAGGGTTTTAAGATAATATCTACACTGCATGAAAACTAAATGGAAGGTAGGGACCACCTGCACATTTCACTGAGAGGAGCTGCTCAGCCATGAAAATCCATGCCATGAAGCTCCTGGTGCAGTTTCTATACAGATGTTAATGCTAGAGGAGCTTTGGAAATCTGCAGTTATCGAGTCAGCAGAGCATTAGCAACTTTGTAGCATTTCATTGCAGTATCTCAAAGTGGTGCTAAGTAGTTTGTATGGCCCCTACATGCTTGTATGCATGCCTGACAAGATCAGGGCATGCTCCTAATGAGATGACAGTCTCCTGGGGGCTCTCCTCCCAGTTTGGACAGGGGCTCTGAGCTCCTGGACAGTCTGAGGTGAAACCTGGCAGCATCTGATGTCCCAGAGGTGTTCTATTGGATTGTGGTCAGGCAGAGTTTGGGGGAGAGTCAGTGGTATCAATTCTTTCATCCTTCAGGGACTGCCTGCATACTCCCTCCACATAAGGTATTGTCATGCACCATAAGGAACTCAGGACCTACTGCATTAGTGTAGTTCTGATTATAGGTCCAAGGATTTTATCCCAATACCTAATGGGAGTCAGGGTGCTGCTGCCTAGCCTCTAGAGATCTGTATGTCCCTCCATAGATATGCCTCCCTAGACCCACAACCAAACCAGTTATGTTGAACGATGCTACAGGCAGCATGAAGTTCTCCACAGTGCCCGCAGACTCTTTCACATCTGTCTCATATGCTCAGAGTGAACCTCTCTCATCTGTGAAAAGAAGAGTGCGCCAGTGGTGGATTTATCAATTCTGGTAGTGTATGGGAAATGCTAATCTGGCTCCACGATGTCAGGCAGGGAGCTCATGCTCATGCTCTTGAGCACTCCTTCTTGCTCTTGACACTGTGGTGGGATTCACAGCAAACCTTCTGGCATTGGCATGCATTTATGTGCCATCCTGGACGAGGTGGTGGGTCCAGCCACCCCTGCATGCTACCAGTAGTGACACTGACCTAGCCAAATTTAAAACGAATGGGGAAAAAACAGTCAAAAGAAACCCAAAAACCGTCGGTGCCATCCACCTGTAAAACCGTTCTTTTGGGGGTTGTCTCATTGGTTCCCCTCTAGTGCACCTGTTGTTAACGTAATTAACACCAAAGCAGCAGAAACTGACTAACACCCCCCTCTGCTACCTAACTGACCAGAATCGAATTGATTTGATGGTGCGCTCTGATTTTAAAAAGTATATAATATATATATATAGTTAGTGGAAAAAGAATAACATTGAAAAAGATATTTGAACAAAGACGCAGAGTTTAAAAGCTAAAGACTGAAAATAAAGCTTGTTTTGAAAATGGCATGTTTACAAGTCTGTACAGCCTGTGAGGATGCTTGAACTTTCTCCCTGTATGTTACGCATTTTACATCGACCATCTGTACCACTGTACTGTGCTCAACAGTATGTAGGCAAAGGGATTAAAGCTCTCCTCCCCACCCATTACACACACACACATACATTATCCTGACATTAGCTGTAACACGAGCCCTAAACAAAAGTGGTGAAGAATCTATTCTGGTTTTGCACTCGCTGTTGCTTGAACATATGTTCCAACTGCTGCTCATGACTTCCTGCTCACCGCACTTTGGTCCTGCACAGTATTTCTGCACCAGATAGCTTTGGACGTGTCTGCTCACCCGTAACAGTAATGGTTGCGACATACAGTATAATCTATTTTAAACCCCTATTTAACCAGATTAGTCAATTAAGGGTAAATTATGCTTAGTTGCTGCCCATCTCAAACCCACACCAGTACAGAAAATAAAGATAATAGATTAAACAAATGAGTCTTATGCACAATTTAGTTGATATTGGCTGATTTCTTTTTTCTTTCTCACAGCTGGGCATGACTCCAAGTTCGTCATAGAAGTTATTTCCATAGTGAGGACAAAAAAAGGGGGAAATATAGTCTGGTTCCTCCTGTTTATGAATATAACAGAGGAGGAGGGGAAGTCATTTCTGTATTGGATGGATGGGTTGTTTTTTCTTTTTTTGGTCTCCATTTGTGTGGTATATTAGCCAGATATTCAGCGTAAGCAGGCTTAGCATTTTAGTGCTAATTGACAGAACATTAAAAAGCAGAGCGAGTGCAGGAAGCCTTATGGTCTCATTATTCTTGCTGTGGAGAGCCATCACACTCGGTGATTTTAACAACAACATCCTTGCAAACAAATGCCACTGAATGGATCGCAAAGGTTTTCTTCTTTTTGCATTTCTTCCAGGGTATGTAGCCTGTGTGTGTTTATCAGTACAATGACTTTGCCTTTTATGTGCGTCATAAAACTATTTTTTTAAGAACACCACAATGTATGGACTCATGACACTGTAAGCTGAACTGGGTAACGGTGCTCACAATCTGTGTGCCGTGACCAAGAACCCATGAAAGGATCATACACAGCCACCACCCCCGGCTTTCTGCGAATCTCTGATTTTCTCATTTGATGTCTCAGACGCTGTGGCTGAGTCGGGCGCGAGGACATTCCCAAAATGGATCTCATTTGCATTCTTGGTGTGATTTTTGACACTGGACAAACAGACGCAACAAACTTTTTATTTATTTAGCTTTTTTGCTTCCTGGTATTCTTGCATTTCAGTGGTGGGCGGATGTTTTGCAGGTGTATTGGTTCGCCCTAGCGAGGTACCTGATTGCTCACGTTGCTTATTTACTCATGTGTTTGCTTTATCTGACCCGATGCAAACACAAGGCGTAAGAAAGCCTTCAGAATGTTTTCATTTTATCAGTGTGCTGCTTTAAGTTCATGCTGTAAGCTCTCTGACTTTCCTCCCTTTCTGTCCTGTCCCTGTCACTCCTCTCTTTCTTTTCTTCTTCCATCTCCCTGATTTATGTGTGTGTCTCTCTGTGTTTCTGTGTGTGCACGTGTTGTCTCCTTCTGGGTGTGTGTGTGTGTGTGTCTATGCTTTCTGCTCCCAGCCCCTCTGCGGAAAGCAAAGTTTGTGGAGAGCCCTCGCATTCCACAATCAGAGCTTGGCTCCCCTACACACACCTCCACCACTGCCAAGAATCCAGACCTGGACACATACTGCCCTGGTAAGTTTTGGCCAGCTCATCCCTAATTTCGTGTGTTGTTTATTTATTTATTTTTTGCTCGTTGGTTCTTCTCTGTGCCTCCCTGGTTTCACAGACGATGATCAGTTTTCGGGGTATTCTGCTGCTGCTGGCTGCTGTAAAACATTGCTAAGGTTATTAATGAAAAAGCTTTGCTGGGGCCTGCAGTGTCCATCCTCATTGCCTCCTCGCTCTCTGTCTCTCTAATCCTCTCTCGCTGCTTTCTCACCCCGCTCTGCTTTTCGGGCGGATAGCTCGGTTAGGTGCCACCGCTGTTTTCCGTTAACTTCGCAGTCGGCTTTTTCTCGGTAATCCTGCGGACAGTCCACATCCCCACCCCTCCCCTTCCCTCCCCTCCCAGTCTATCCCCATCAAACCCCGTCTATCCTCCTCCCTTGTCTCTTCGTCTTCCTCGCTCAGAAGGACTTTAAAACGGGTCACCTGAGGATAGTGCTGTGCTCAGATCTGGTTCTGGTATATCTGCTTTCTCATCTTGCTTCTCCTTTTCCTGTTGCCATTGAGAAATGCGGTGCTAGCTTCCTGCCCTGTCTTTTTGGCTCAACCTGTGGTGGAATAGGAGAACCCAAGGCTGGATGTACACATGAGAAATGGTGATGGAAAGCCTCGAGGCTTAACTGGACTTATTTAGGCGGAAAATGTTTGAAAGTGTGCTACCAGCCTTCTCCGTCTGTGAGCCTCTTCTGCTGACTTTCTGCTCAATGGGAATTCTAAGTAGGTGATATAGTAGATTATATATTTATTGCTGTCATACTACACATTATATGGTCTGAATAGTGTATTACTTAAGGATAAACCCTTTGATTCTGGCTCCTGGCTTGCTTTTGAATTTCATGGATGAAAAACTGTTGACCCTGGCTTTATTTTTGCATTAAGTCAGGCGGCTGGTAAGTAGCAGTTGTTATGAGCGGCAATAGGTGTGACATTTCAGGGATAACATGGTAATCTCTGCTTTCTGACCTAGTATGAACCTTCCAGATCCCTCACGTCATCTGGATCCGGTTTTTTATCAGTTCCCAGAGACAGAACCAGACATGGAGAAGCTGCATTCAGCTTTTATGCTCTATATATCTCGAACAAACTCCCAGAAAGCCTCAGATCAGCTGAAACACTCAGTTTATTTAAATCCAGGTTGAAGACTCACCTGTTCTCAGCTGCATTTGAATAAAGCACCAAATTCGCACTGTTTTGCTTTTAAGCTTAAATTTTGAAACTTACATTTTAACTACTGATTTTATCTACTGTTCCTTTCCTTTTTTCCATTTTAAATCATGCTTTTTATTTGTTTTTGTTTTTTAATGTCTCTGTAAAGCACTTTGAATCACCTTGCTGTTGAATTGCGCTATATAAATAAACTTGCCTTGCCTTCCATTGGGGCAGGAAAAGAGTTGATAAAACGTGAACTGGAGCGGAACTGGGAAGCCTAAGATGAGTTTTCACGAGAGGTGAGGAGTTGCACCTCCCCGGTGGACAGATGGACATGTTAACTCTTAACAAGGTCTCCTTGGCGTGTCTAGCAGCAGGGTGGTGACTTAAACATCTGATCACATGCTAGTCCACACTCTGCTGCTGACACTGTCTTTTGAGTGGAGGAAGTGAGGCATCAGTTGATTTTTTTTTTTTTTATGTGGCCTACAAAGATATTTGTGGTGCCATAAATATTGTTTGCAAATATTTTGTGAGACGTCTTGTAAAACTCCCCACCAGCCAGCCTCCTTAAACCGTGGAGTGAAAGCCTTTCTAATGATGTTAGAGTTCAACCTTCTTAAAGGTAATTCTCCAGACTGGGGGCAGACGCTACAGATAAAATCCTCCATTGTGTCACTCCTTTTTGCAATTAAAATTACAATCGGGGGTATTATAGATTTAATGTCAGTGCTTGCATATGCATGCCAGGTCACATGCATTTCTCAGTTGTGTTCAATGAACAGAGAGGAGCAAAAGACAAAACATTACGTGCCACTTCCCTCTCCACCCTTCCCATGTGAGGGGAAGTAGGAAGGGATGAAAAAACCAAAAGGTGAACAGATAATTAGCGTCCACTTCAACATGTGCTTGCTTTGTATTTTGAACAATGTTATAGGCAAACTTAACTTCTTTGAGCTGTGTGAATTATCTGTTAAAGTTATTATCTGTGAGTCAAATTTTAAAATATAGAAAGATTTCTTTGCCCCAGATGTTAAAAATGCACTTATTTGTATTGGACTGATAAACTACTCAACTGACTTAGTATATTAAGGGGGGATGTGAAGTCCATAAATCTCAACAGAAAATTTAGAGTCAGGTGCAGAACCAAAAGAAATGAGCTGCAGGATTCCAGCAGATTGTTTAGATTTAATGCCAAACGGTGATAAGGAAGAATGGCGTGAATGTAGTTTAAGATGTAAACAACAGATCTGGTCTGTGACCTTGTACTAAATCTGATGCCTGAAGTTAATTGAGCATAAGTGTGGGCTGTGAAGGCTTTTAACATTCAGCCAATGCATCTTTTGTGGTTTATGTACTTTTTAATTTGACTGAATAGAGACTTATTCTCATATAATTGGAAAGAACTAATGTTGCTCTATTAGAGTCATGAAGAAATTGGTGTTATCATAGTAAACTTGTTATCTTCAACAAACCAGTTTGACATGATTTGAGCTTTGTGTCATGGAAGAAGATGTGTACACTGTGGTCTCAGTGCTCACTCAATATTTTCTCTTTTTTGGGACTGTTGTCTGTAAATCCTAGTATAGGTATGCGGGGAAAATCCCAGCAGATCAGTAATTCCTGAAGTAGTCAGATCCCCCTTTTCTCCTTTCTGATGCTCAGTTTGAACTTCAGCAGATCACTGATTGACTTTGTCTGTATACCCAAATGCATTGAGTTGCTGTCATGTCACTGGCTGATTGGATATTTGCATTGATGGAGCAGTTAAACAGGTACATCTGAGCGGCAGGTGAGTGTACGTTTGTAATAGCAGACAAAAACATGCGGTTTAATTTCAGTTGGACGTCTTTAGCTTCAGGTCTTTAAAGCCATTTCTTCAGCTGTCTTGTTGTGAGTTGCCAATTTTTGGAGTTATCTGCTGTAAAAATCTCTGCTGAATTTTTCTTTTCTCCGCTTTTCTTTGACTCAAGGCAAGCACTATGTGGTTTTACTGTATTCAAGGGAAAGCGATGTTCTTTTTTTTTTTTTTAATTCATGTTTCATGACCCAGTCACCCAACACAGAAAACAAAACAAAAAAACAAGTTTAGTATGGGAACTATTTTGTTCTACTGTCTTTATCCGCCAACCAAAGGACTCATGCAGCTCTCTAACATTACAGCTCATTGATGATTACTGTCAGACTGTCATAACCATGAGCCTTTCATCATTGGTGCGTTATCAAATTGGACACTGGACATTTACATGGTTGGCGGGTGTCTCGGAGACAACAATGTTTGTGGATTGTTTTTAATAAACGGGTTACTATTTCTGGAAAGAGCATTTCCCTTTTTGGGGTTGTTCTTTGAGCACCACTAGGCAAGAGCCATTTACTTCAATTACACTGAAGAGAAGGCAGCACCTCTGCAGCTGATATCTCCAAAATTGGGCAACTCACACCAGAACAATCTAAATGGATAACTAGCACCGCAGGCAGGAGGGGGTGGAAATATTAAATTAAATTTTTGAGTCGGCTTCAACAGCATAACGCTACAGTCATTAAACAAATAATAGATTGTATTATTATCAAATATAGTTTATTTTAATATCTAGTTTACAGATATTTTTTGTTATTCTGCCAAATAAACTGTTATTCTGTGATTTCAACCTTTGCCAAAACTAAATGCAACTAATGCTGTTCCTAAAGTGCAAGTTCTATATAGCTTGATTATACTACTTACATCTACGTTATATCATCAAATCCTGAAATCCAGTGCCCTGAGATGCAGTGTTTATGCATAGATAAGATCACAGCTGTGCACATCAAGAATGTGAGATTCATTCCTCTGATCTCTTGATTAGCCCTACATTCCTGGATTTTCAGGTGTCTTTGTCTATACATTTCACTACTTGTATTATTCAAGCTTTCTTTTCCTCCCCAAAGCCGTAAAGTAAAATTGCAAACACCACTTTAACCTCGTTTTTTAATCAGTGCCACGTCCTCTTCAGGTAAATTTATCTTTGAACCTTGAGTATTTAACTTTTTCTTTTTAAAAATGTGATGGCTTACTTTTCGAGAACCTTGAAGTTACTGCTCCCAGGTAGAGGTGAAATAGGAGCCACCAAAATGCTATGTGTTATCTCACCTGCTACTCAGGCCTATTTATACCCTCTCCTGTCCGGTCCAGTCCCCTGCTTGCAGCACACATGCTTCTCTTGCTCTCTCTGGCTCACCGTCGGTGCGCGAGGGCAGATCCGTGGACGGCCAGGGAGAAACAGATGCGCTCGCACAGAAACACATTCCTAGCTGCGCGCAAAGATAGTTGCCATGGCAACCATCTGTCTCCTTCGCAGCTCAGGAATCCAATAGAGAGAAGTCTGCATTTATATATATATATATATGCATATATGTGTTTTGATGTTGGGCAAATTTTATTTTATATTTATTAAGATGTTACACTGACGAAAAGCGCCTGAAGTTCCTTTAGCCGTGTGTTTGGCGTCTGGCTTTGAAGTGATCTAGATGTTTGCTTGCAGTGACTTCGGCACCATGTGACTGTCATAATGTGTATTTAAAGAACAAAAGGTAGGGCTATAAATAGAAGCAAATCAGTACATACAACCCCTACATTATGATAATATATTCCCTTTGATTGTAGCTCCCTTACAGTAGCTACAAGAACAGGTAGCTTTAAGAAGGATTCAGATGGTATGGTATTTTTGTTTCGAGTTTGACAGCTCTGTGATTGTCGTCACTGCCAAAAATCTGGGCCTTGGCCATATGTTTGACTCTGCTGTCATATTTCTAGAGTGGGAGAGTTTAAAGATGTACAAAGGGATTGCCTATGGTTCGCTCAAGGGACTCACTATGGGCTCGGGCATCCAGATTAGAGATTTTGTTACCACATCAAAAGAAACCTAGACAAACTGCTCGCTCCTGCACAGGGTTGGCCAACAGCTGGCTGCTACACAGACGCTATAGTAAGAAGAACTAAAGGGAACAGAGGGGATTGTGAGGGAGAGAGTAGCATTCAAAGAGACGAGTGAAAGAACACAAGTTAACACAGGCAGACAGAGCCCATGTTTGATCATGATCACGATCACGCCCCAACCCCCCACCACACCACCTACGGGAGCAGTTCACTAATGACTGCTAATATATTCACTCCTTACTACTACCAGTCTGTCAACTGGGAAGCCTTCGGTGGCTCAGTGTTCAGACTGGTGCAAAGACAGCAGCTAATACATAGAAATGACATGCTGTCTGTATGGATAGATGATTTACTTTACTTTTCATGTAGGTTTCTTCTGCTCATGGTCTTCATGGGATATCACATCATTAGGGAAAAACAATACACTGTATATAAAAGATGGACAAGGCTCCCAGGTATAAAAAGGACAACCAGAAGAGGGCGCTCCTAGTTGCAAAAAGAAGTTTTGTATACCTCTGTTCCCTTGATTGTTGTCCTTAGTATGAGTTTAGCATCTTACTCACTAGTTTCACATCTTGTTCAAATGCAGCATGATCTTCATTTTGTAAATTTTGGTACCCAATAGTGTCGAGAACGGTAAATCAGCATATGCTCATTATGATTAGCAACGTACTTTACAAAGCTTTACCACCATACAGTAGCGTATGGTGGTAAAGCATTTTGTATCCTTCACTCATGGTGACTTGTTTCAAAAAGAAAAGATGGCAGCAACAAAAATGCCCAGCTCTAGGTTTCAGACATAGAACAATGCAACCCAGTGAGTGACACAAAGACTATTTTCCAGCAAAATAAGATGTTCCTCGGCATGATAGTTATTACACTGGATAAACCAAAGCGAAAACCAACCTGTTGTTGTCCTATAAATTTAATCTAATTGCATTTGATTAAAATTATTTCATACAATCTATCAAAGATGCTGCTGTTTTGTTGGTAATCTGCCGAAATGTTGACTAAAATGACCCCACTTATCGATAAACATCACTTGTAAGTTGAATTTAACCAATCAGCACTTACCTTCTTCTCCTTTACCTTCAAAACAGCAGATATATTGACCACTCCAAATTGAAAATTTACATAACTGTGTAAACTTTTATGCTTTAACGAAAAGATTCCCAATAAGGTATGTGTAAAACACGGCAAAAGTGGAGCTCTGGCAGGAACCCGGGGCTGTTTTTAGTGATTGAAGTACTGCTGTGCATGCTGTATACAGATCAAAAGGGTCCAAAACATTCAGTTTTTTCACACATATTTTGTTTTTCTTCTTTTTAGATGTTTTTATCTTTCTAGTCGTGGCTTGAAATTGATGAAAAATTCACAGGTTTGTGGTTAGCTTATACCAACACAAACCAGAACTCTGCTCTAGTCATGTGTCTGAAAACTATGAATCGATCCAAGTGCCGTCCATCAGCCGTCCTCCTGTGGTATTAGCGGTGAGGAGGTAGGATTTTACCCCAGCTACATCTTCTCCATTAATGGACACTTCCTCAAGGGAAACCCATGGATCCACTGACCTTGGAGGAATGCACTCTGCTCCATAACGCCATCACCATCTCGTTAAAACTCATACATAATTAGCTTGTTTCGGACCTAATGTATGCTCTGATTACCTCATTATTGGTTGCTGCTGTGTGTGTGTTTTTTTTTTTTTATTGAAGCACTGCACCCATGTCGTCCCCATTTGATTCAAAGGTTTTTTTTTTCCCTCTGTCAGAAGGCACCCAGCTTCTTTACTTGCTCACACTGTCTTGGAGTCAATCTAATGAGGAACCTGACAGTGTTCTGCCTTTTCCGCCCATGAGCAAATGGAGAGGGGAGCCCGGGCTTTAGATTGCCCGTCTGTGTGTGTGTGTGACTTTGAACTGACGAGTGAGAGGACACAGGCTGTAGACAAGCTGTCCGTCTTCAGAGAGGTGGCGTGGCGGCTTGGACTGTTTAATGGCTGTCAGTCAGAGTTTCGTGTAACTACCTGCCAGTCTGGTTTGACCAGCCCTGCTGGAAAACTGAGGGGGGAAAAAAAACCACACTCTGCCTCGAGCTGTTTTTTTAAAAACCAACCATCTTGTGCTGTTGGCTTCAATAACATTGATGTCTGGGCCAATTCAGAGGCTTATATGTCCAATTACAGCTGTTTGAATTTAGCCACCAGTCACTTTTTTGTGCAGGGTGAGTAATTAACACAACCTTGAGCTCTGCGAGTGGCACTCCAGTGAATAATGTGAAATTGAAATGAAACTGATCTAGTAGGCACCTCTAGGGCCAAGTGTGATTGGAAAAACATGATACCACTGGTTAGGGTTTGTTATGGGTGGGGGGTAACCAGGCAACTGGGTGACGGGATGAGGTCTTTAAAGGATTTTTAAATGGGTCCTATTGTAAAGTTGGCAACTGAAATCCCTCCGCTCTGGGGGTGTGTTTGTGTGTGTTTGTGGTTTTGATCATCTGATCATCATGCAGGCTCACCCGGGTGTTTTCTTTGCTCTCTTTAGTCCCAGGAGTCTCTGTAAATAGGAGTAAGGATGTGGACATGCACGCTTTGTCTTGAAAAGGCACACACCTCTTTCTCTCTCGATCTCTCTCTCTCACTCACTCACACACACGCAGGTGAAGGGCGTATTTCATTACGTCACTCGAGCCGTAGTGGTGATGAGTGGTGCGGAAGGAGCTGTCGTCGGTATGGGAGTCTACTGCTAGTCGCTGTGGAAGGCAGCTTTTTGTAAACAGTTGAAAACTGTTTTTGTTGTTGTGGCTGAGGGGATTTTGGAGTTTATGTAAGGAGATACCTCAACCGAAAAGTCCGGCTGTTGGGGAATGTGTTAGTAATGCACAGCTCTGAGCTATGGGAGAACTCTGGTAGGGTGCTTCGTTTTCTTTTCCTGCGTGCAGGTGCTGTGTGTCCAGGTGTGTAGTCAGGGCTGTAGTTTATTCAAAGGGAGTGTAACAAGTGTACTGTGTGTTTCTAGGTAAAGAGGTTATGGATATATAAAAAATGAAATGTTGTAAGGTTTTGTTTTTTTGTGGGTTTTTTTTTTTTTTTTCTTGTGGCAAAATAAGCTGCTGTTCAGTTTTCTGCCCACCACTGACACACATTCTCCCGTTCCTTTCTCTTCTTTTTGCTCTCCCCCATCTCCTGCCTCCTCCTCCTTGTGTCTATCTGCCTCCACAGGGGAGTCAAGCCAGGAGCTGGGGCCCCCTCCGTCCGTGGATGAGGCAGCCAACACATTGATGACGCGCCTGGGTTTCCTTCTCGGAGACAAACTGAGCGAGGGGCCAGCCGGTACCCAGTACAGCATGGAGGAACCCGAGGCGAGACAGGTACCAGAAATATGCTTTTCTAACTATTCTCAGCGATCTGCACTTTTTCCCTGATGATAGAGTTCATCACGTGATGCACGCAGTGTGAATTTGATAAGAAGCGTTCTCTCAGATTAACCCAGTAAATACTCGTCATAGCTACAGACTTTCATTCTATTTATCCTAATCTATATCTGAGTCAAACAGTCGAATCTGTCTTGTAAGCTATGTGATTTTCACACATTTGCATTGTGAGCGATCGCACTTGGAAACTTGAACAAACACATCTGATTCGATCTGTTTTGACATTTATCTTCATAATATTCGTGTTTACAGTCAGTTTTGACAGATCTTTGGAAGTCAGGGTAGCCAGATCAAAGGACTTTTCAGTAAATTGCCCTCATGTGCCAGAGTGCTTTAGATTCTGAGATTACCAGTGCCTCTCCATCAAGTGTCAGATATCCTCCTGCCTAATTAGCTTTTTATAAAACAAATATGATTATTTTTTTCCCTATTTAGATTATTTCTAGATTATTCAAAGGAAGTTTCTTGAGCCGACACGCGGCAGGTTAGACTTAATGTTTTGCTCCTGCGCCGTAACCTTTCTATTTGTGAATTTGTCAGTTGTGCAACAAACAGCTCCTGGCACAAGAGACTTGCTCTAAGCTCAGCAGCAGATGCCCTGGTATCTCTACCTAAACCTTATTTGACAGGTATGAATTTTCCAAACTGTGCAAGGAAAAACAGTTGCTGCGGAGAGGCAGCGAAAGAGAAACGGGGTGGGACGGGGAGGGGTGGGAAGGGGCTAACCTGTTGCTGAAGCATTCAAGGCAGGCATAGGTATGTGTTCGCTCTGAAACAGTGTGGATAAGCGATTAGACTGATGGACTGCCTGTGCTTGATGTGAGCGCTGCTGTAGCAGTGGGGGTGTATAAATTGAGAGAGGTTTATTCAAGCGGCTCTTTTTAGAGACGTGACTCACACGAGCACCCCGCTGCATCGTGCACACAGTACAAACTTATTGTTTTAGATATCTGCCCCAAATACTGTTCTCTGGATTGCAATTTTGTTTGATTCATTAACCACCAAAAATGACAAGAATTGCCTCGAGACACCATGTATTAGCAGATAAAAGAGTGGGCTTTTGTTGTAATTCTTCTCATTTGCTTGGGATTTACTAGATTTTAATGGACTTTGGTTAGTGCTGTAATTCAGGGGTTTGACACTTTGCCCTCCACAAGACAACAAAAAATATGCAGAGTTAGGGATTAGCAGATCTTGATGTAACCATAAACATACAGAAAACTACTGTTAAAGTAATAATAACCATGTAAGTGCAACATAATATAAGTAATATCGTTTCAAAGCCAATTTCTAAATGTTCATTAAGTGATTCTAATTCATGTCTGAGACAGTGACTGAAGATAAAAGTGTATAATTCAAAGGAGGTGTGCATGTTTTGATAGGGCAAAAAAATATTAGCTCAAGATAAAAAACATACATTCATATGCCATCCAGATATTGGTAGGATACCGCTACCTTCAATTTTTTAATTTTCTTTATATATCTTCAAATCACACCAACAGTTTTCTCAAGGCGCTTTATATTTATAATGTCGAGACCCTACAATAAATTTTAAAAGCTGCTGCTTTGAAGTTGGGCGTTTTCACATGGGCGTCTATGGTGATGGTATCTGCCTCAAATGGCTGTCATAGTAGCCCTGGTGGGGTTACACTTGACATATAATGGGAAATAATGGCTCTGATACTACTCTGCTACATTTCTCCAGCCACCCTGCTGGACAAATGATGTAATAACGCAGCTTCTGTCAGAAAAAGGAAGAAAATAAAGTGCTACATGGCTCTAAAGGCTTATCAGTGAACACAATATCAATATTTTAAAAAAACAACAACTGTGTGTTCGTTTTCTTGCAATCATCTTTGTTGTTGCAGAAGTCAATTCAAAATTCTTTGTTTGTTTTTCTTTGGGTCTCCCTCTATAATGCATAAATTCTCCTTTTTGGCATTTTTAAGGTGATCTTTGGTATGCTGGGTGTTTATAATTCAGTGATCATTATAAAAAAATTGCCATTTAACATGTTTGACTTCCTACAATAGCTGCTGCAAGACTTCGCCAGCTGATAGAACAAGGTGACCTCAACTTGCAGAGGGTGCAGTTAATTGCCTTTCATACTCGCGTGCTCTCGCTCCCTAAATAGATGCAGTGCTCTCCAAGTTCAATCCAATCCACACGCGACATTTAAGGTCAAACCTACAGAAGGCTGCGTTCGTTATCTGAGCTGATAGAACTGCGGCGTGGTTGAGCGCACGCAGGGTTGAAGATTTGTCTGCTGGTGTGGATGTTTGGTTACATCGGGGTCAAGCTCTTGTAAACATGACACTTGAGCGGTCTCATCCATGAAGACAGCAGAGGGCAGCGGTGACTGAAATACTGGTTGACAAATTGTTATTCCGCAGGCACAGAAACACTGTTTAGTGTCAGCCAGAGGGCATTTACTTAAAGTGGAAGTGTGTTTACAGGTGTCACAGTTATCCCACTAATCTAGTAGTACTCTGCAGTGTGTGTATTCTTGAGGTGAGTAGTTGTTTATTGTGAAAACATATGAGTGTTCAATGGTTCCAGGTTTTCAAGTGTGAGGGTTTGCTGCTTTTCTTAAAAATAAGGAATTACAACTACAACAATTTTTCAACTTATCAGTTAATCGGCAGCGTTTAGATAAAAGTTTTCATGTGTTTGTGTAATAAGAAGACTTTATCACAAAAATAATGGCGAACGGACTACATTTGTGCAGTGCTAGTCAAATCAAAGGGCCACATTGTCTCTCATTCACCCACTCGAATAGATAATAAGCAGTTGCTTGGTTATTTGGAGCAATCAGTAGATTAGTGTCTCTCCCAAGGACATGTTGACATGTGGACAAGTGGACCTGAGGATCAAACCAACAATCCTGCGATTAATTGTCACCCTGTTCTCATCTCCAACCTCAGGAGGCCGTCAACAGATAATTGGCAGATTAATCAATACTGAAAATAATCATTTAGCTACAGCATTACTCCTGACACTGGATGTCTGTTGGCTAATCTAAAATGTATTGGCTTGGTGTGTCCCTTCAGACTTCCTCCTGCAAATTAAACTAGACCAGATTTTGCCCTGAGCGCCACTTCACCCCTCTTTTCTGTCTGTGTTCACCCCAGTGCTTAGGAGAGATTTCCGTGTGTGCCTTTCAGTGACTGACGCAAATACGTGGTTACTTGGCTTGCTTGTTTTTCTGTGAATGTTGCATGCTTGTATCCTATAAATTTGGGCAGGTTTATGTGTTTTGCACAAGAGTACATCTGTGGGTGTTCAGAGCAGCTGCTGATTGGATGCAGCAGAGTGTTTATATTTTGTCGCCCGTGGTCGATTGTCTCCTAACCCGAGCTGACATCGAATAGAGTCACTCCAGGGTGCCTGGAAAGTGCCAGGACTGAAAATACTATACATTTATACTACATATAAGATTGTAGTTATGGCAAAGAAGAGGAAAATGTGCATGAAAATAGGGGTTTCTATGGATCTATAAATGCAAGTTAAAGTTAGTATTAGTGTTAAAATGTAACACTGAATCTCTCTATTGTTTTCTGAAAAGAAACCACATCACTGTATACAGTACATATGCTACTTGTAAAATGTATTGGCTGTAGTGAAGGTACCATTATTAAGTATTTTTAAATGCAACTACCAGGAGTGTTGAGTGTATTCGTGTATGTAAACATGCTGTACATTTGCAATTTTCGTTAGTTATGCAACGTGGCCTAATTGTTAAAACTTCTTCAAGTGTATCTTGTAGAGAAATGGAGCATATTATGAGTTAGTATTATATGTGTTTGTATACATGTGGGAGAAGGACTAAGAGGATCAGCAGGGGGCTGAGCTTTTGAAAACTGCAGTATTGGAATGGCATTTTCCTTCGTATGAGTCACATTTTAAAAGTTCAAACGCTGTACTTTTGCCATTAATACCCATGTGTGCTAATGGAGCTGTGGGAGCCAAAAAAATCTTTAAAACTGTGTTTATTTGTGTCCATCCCAGGGCCAGAACCAGAGGATCAGCCCGTGTTCCACCCTGACCAGCAGCACTGCCTCCCCACCTGCAGGCAGCCCCTGCTCAACCCTCCCCCCTGCCATGCCGGGCCAGGCTGGCAACAGGGACTGCGCCTACGGTTCTGTCACTAGTCCCACCTCGACACTGGAGAGCAGGGACAGCGGGATTATCGGTGAGATCTGCGTGCTGATTCACATAAAACGCCCGTAATGAACATGAGTACATTCATGAATACAGAAAGAAGAAGCAACAAACCCCAAAGAAACTTGAGTTACAATATGATATTGTATCTTAGGGGAAAGAGAAGAGGGAGGGGGGTTGTTTTTGTTTTGCTGTGGTCTTTGGGGCTCCTTGTTTTTTTATGTCTAGGCCATTGAGTTGGGTGAACATGGTAATTCTGCTGGTTCTTTAAAAAACTGTATCTCTACATCTTGTTTTGTCTGAGTTAACCAATCAGATGACTCCAGGTTTTGACCCATTGGCTGACCTTAATGGCAGCTTTATTGGGTTTATGGTGGAGGTAACTACCCTGGAGTAGGTACTACATTTCCCGCAGGAAATAATGCTGCTTTCCGTTTGAGGTGGGATGTTGGAAATCGGAGCTGGAATAAACCCCACCAAACCTAATTTCATAATCCAAGATGGTAGCAGTGCACGCAAACCTTAGTAAATCTGTTCTGTACATTACTGATTTGTATTTGTTACTTGTTAAATTAGCCATATACAGGGCGCTGACTAGGCTTTGTCTGTGATTGTGCTGTGGCTGTGTTTTTAAGATCAATAAACAGACATTATGCTGTATTGTTGTGTATAGAAAGCAAAACAAATTTTGTTTTCCCCACTACTACTACTGAAATGCAGTCAGTTCAGGAGAGACATCACTTAAATGCCTTCACAAGGTATCCAAGCTAAAAGGAATGCAGGGTTGCCACAAAAACAAAACTAAAGAAAGTACGCCTGAGAGTTCCAACAGTGGGAAAACGGGCCTGTGCATTTCCAAACCACTCTGTACAACTCTGATTGTGTGCTAAAGCCAAAAATCGTAAAATGATATTTTGAATTGTGCAAAACAGTTTGATTTAAATCTGAGTCATGACCAACAAAAAGAAAAATGGTCATTCTGAATGCCATATCCAGACCCGAGCAAGGTACTGTCCAAAAGTCTTCTTTGATCTGGTCTGTGATCAGTTCCCAGTACAGCGAAGGTCCTTTCCTGGTCTTTACACCAACTGGAAGCAGCTTCATACCTCGCCATCATCTGTGGCATTTATGCATCAATTGAAAGGAATCAGGAGCGCCGAAATGCTCTCTGGTGCGAGGCAAAAGTCGAAGCAGGTGCCGTCATTGTTTCCTGGCAACAATGGTGAACACCTGCAGTTTGATGAGGAAAGCATTGCATCAACATACCATTGATTCAGAACAACAGCAAATAAATTTGAAAGCAGATGGGCTGGGTGGGTGAAAAGATGACAAAGGAAACTCAAACAAACCCAGTGTCTAAAACAAAAGAAATGATCTAAAAGACTGTGTCATTGTTTGTGTTGCAGCAACTCTGACCAGCTATTCGGAGAACATGGAGCGAGGCAGCAAATACGGCGAAGGCTCGCGGGGAAACCTGAAACTGTGGCAGTCTCAGAAATCAGGCATGGACTCGTTCCTATACAGGGTGGATGAAAACATGACCGCCTCCACCTACAGCCTCAACAAAATCCCTGAGCGAAACCTGGAGAGCATGTCCTCCCATTCTGCCCACTCCATCCCTCTGTACCTCATGCCCCGCCCTAATTCTGTGGCTGGTGAGTCCCTTTCTCTTTCCCCATCCCTCAACTGTGAAAGTTTTTTAAAAAAGGTATTTGTCCAGGAAGCCAAAAATATGGTTATTTACAGGCGAACGACCATGCAGCATACAAATTTTGCCAAGCTAGGGAGCCTTTTCTGGCAAAATTGGATTGAGCTGCTGGTGTTTAGCCACGTCACGCCCTATTTCTGACTTCTTACTTGCTTCCTCTTCACTCCTTTCAGCCTCTCTTCCCATGCTTGTTGTCCTACAGGACAAACTGTAATCCTCTCCTTTTGAATTATTTTGCTATTTTTTTGTGATCGCAAAGGCCCTAAATATATAAATATTTAGCGTCTTGCAGGCTAATTTGCATGACATAACCTGTATTTTTATTGTACCACAAAAGGTTGTTTGAGTATCTGTAGCCTTGTGGGGGTTCTTCTTTCATTTCAGAGTAACTTAAAAACTGAGGTCTCAACTACATTTCTCCTGCAGTTCCCTAAAATTTGGTTTATTCATAAGAGTAGCTCACATGTGCTTTGATTTGATTACATTTCTCCTTCATTTTTGGGAGAAAACTGCTCCAATTTATAGCTGTCATGGGGTTATGTTGAAATTTTGGGCAAGTGTAAATCCATGCTGGTATTTTGTTAAACTCTCACAGCCCTCTGGTGTAGATTGAAACCATGCAGCAGAATAATACAGTGTGGGAAAGGGAGCATCTGCAGAATAACATACTGCGGCTGGAAGAATATTACACAGGAGAAACTGGCATTTGTATCGCTAACAGAGGCCTTGTTGATATTGGGTTTTTTTGGCCTTGAAAAGCTCCCGAACATAACAGTAAATATTTTAGGAAAAAATGTCAGTTTTATAACACAGAGGCTGCCCTAACGGGCCTGATTGTAATATTGTTCTCATCAGAGAGGCTGTTACAGACGATGAGCTCTGTTATACCTTCACCTACTCCTCCTGGAAAAAGAGTACATGCGTGCAGACTCTCTTATATATTTCACTAAACACTGTAATATGCCTGACAAGGCCTGTCACTGCAGCTATGACCCTCTCTTTATGCTGGTCATGTTCTGCTGTTTGACTCTGTCTGGCAGCGCAGAGACACTGTCGGGTTTAGAGATTCATCCTCGATCTCATCTCTGCCCCGCAATAGTCAGATCTTCAAAAGAGACTGAGTGGGCTAGATACGGCTTAAAAGACATGATATAAGCTACAGATGATGCAAAATATAAAATGGAGAGAGTAGAAAAGGTGTGAGCGAGGGAAGAATAAAAAAAAGGGAAAAGAGCATATGATTTGTCTGATGGCATTTGTGTTCGTCAGGAACAGGAATTCCATATTGAGTAGTGGGAGATGGATACATGTGGAAGAGGAGTGAAAGGGAGTAATCATAATCTCTCTTTCTCGCTCTGCCTCTCCTCCACAAAGAATTATTAGATGATGTAGGGATGGGAGGCAAGCACAGGCTGAGGATTGGCTGGGCTCACACAGCAGTGGAACATCAAAGCCCCAGGCATTAACCGTTTCTATCCCCAAGAGTGACAGAGACTCGCTTTGATGTGCGGGGAGGGAGGGAGAGCGATACGGAGCGAGAGCAGAAGGCGACTGGGGAGGAAAGAGAGAAGGGAGGGGGCTACTCTATTACCTAATGAAGTCAGTGCGTTGGTAGAGCTGAGGATAGATATGGAGGAAGGAGAAACCAAATCCAAGATTTTTTTCCGTTCACACATCATGATGATTAAGACAAGTATTGAGTAAATTGTAAAACTGGAGGACTTACAAACAAAATTTGAACAGAAGGAGAGTGAAAATGGTTAAACCGCAGGGTGGGAACTCCTGACCACTGTTGTTTAGGCTTGAAAAAAGAAGGCTAACATTTCCCACATTGACACTAGATGGCCTTTGTTAGATCCTAGATCCTTCTCACCTCGCTGATTTGTTGTAGAAGTCCAATGAAAACAGTGGAATCGACGATACTGCCACGTTGATTTAGGAGTCTTGTAGTTTTTAGGGATACGGTTTTGGTTTTTATTTAAAAATTAAAAAATTAACAATAGGGATGATTAATTAATTATAAATATAATCTTACTTGTTATTACATGTATTTATTTCCTGTTTCACAAATAAAGGACAAGTAATAGTGGCTAAGAGCTTGCCTACGTACAACTCTGCATATCCTGGTGTTGATTATGCTAATAAGCTTTCAATAGAATTGAATTTTTTAGCCTAGCATAAACAGCCTAATATAGTTTATTAGCATAATCAACACGAGGATATGCAGAGTTGTACGTAGGCAAGCTCTTAGCCATTATTACTTGTCCTTTATTTGCGAAACAGGAAAATTGAACTGGGACACAAAACTCAGACATTTGTTACACTAATGGCAAATATGTTTCCAGGCAAAATATTTCTAGTCTAAGGTTAAAAAAATCACTTAGCTCTTTTAACCAAGGCGAAGGCGAAATGAAAAAAGGTTTTGTTTTTATTTGCTATGCACTGTGTACTATGGCCACATGTAGAGAGGATGATGAAATGTAAAAGACTGATGGTGATATCTTTGTTCAGTGCCCACAGGGCACAGATTCAGTTCTGACTGTTTTTAAAAGCCTTGTGACCAAAGATAGCCTGGGACAAAATTCAGATAATGACAGTAATTTAATATCTCACAATGTGACTTCTGCTGTGACCTACATCTACAAACCAACCGACTGTAATGCGGCATGAAATGATGCGCTGAGCAGCGCGACACCGGCATGTGTTAAACAAATTGTTTGAATTTCCAGCAAAGCAGGAAATTCGAGTGGCAACCTTCAGGGATAAAAAATTAAACCACCCTGGAAGTAGTTTCATTCCAGTTTAAGTTTCTCCAGTGGTCTCTTGCACCAAAAGCCAGGCAATCACCATAGACTATCATTTTAAAAAGCCCAATTTTGTATCGTTCAAAAGCATTTTTTCAGTGCCATAATTTTGCCAACCAATCGAATGTAAAATGCTGTAAAAAGCACCAACGCCACAAACACACGCCACGATTTTCATCCCGGTTACTACAGCTGACGATAATTCAGCCATTGTGTTCAATTCGTGCTGTGGCTACATGATAACTTGAAATCCCTCCTTCATTCACACAAATCCAAAGCGAAGTTTTACCTCATATTACCCATGTGAATTCAGTCATGTTTGAAACCTAGAAATAATTAACAGCCTAATGGGCATGAGTAAAAACGTTATTGCCTGTATGTCAATTCACCTCATTATTTAGACACTAATGTAATCGGGTCACTGTAAAACTTAATGTTAGGCTTTTTTGTTTTGTTCTTTTAAAACTTTAAGCTTTTTTAACATGGGAGTTTGTGGAGATTGACTCAGTTTCAGAGTCAGCCTCTAGTGGCCATTTAAGGAACTGCAGTCTTAAAGGTTACCACTGGGTCGGTGTAGGTGTTATTTTTCTAAGTCTACATACATCAAACTTTTTGTTGTAACTAACCAATGAAGGTCTACACCTGAAGTTGCCAGATTAGTGATGCAAATACTGTGGAATCTGCAGGTGTTAATGACGTAATTTACTATGTATTTACAAGAATACATAGACGTCTCAAGAATCTAGCACCAACAGATATAACTGCCTGGGGAACTGTGATATTCATTCTCAGAGAGAAGACTCGCTCTTTAGTCTCCAAATTCACTAAATTAAGGTAACGGCTCACTTGAGATAACGTTTTTCATTTGGGGGATGCACAGTCTACATTGATTTCCTTTTTCCTTCATTTCTTTTCCTAATTTCCTTTCTGGCTTTAGTCTGCTTAGATACATGGTGTTTTAACACCCAGAATTATTGTTTAAATACCTCTACCTCCATTATTTATCATTGCAAGTCATCTCTCTGGTAGATGAGAGGAGAACAGCGAGGCATACAGAGCTCCAGCAGCTACCTCATATCTGTGATGAGTAGTCGACTTCCTGGCTGATACTGGCTCTGGATAGCAGCCCAGCTGGTCTTTGCGAGTGTGTGTGTGTGTGTGTGAGCGTGTGTGCGTTTATGCCGTTTGTTGCTCTTATAAACAGGAAGTGTCTGATGTGGCTGTCATTACCCAAAGCTCCCTGTTGCAGAGTTCAACCTTTTTCTCACTTTTTTTGGTACACCTTCCATTCTCTCACTGTTCCACACTTGGGGTTTTTTTCCCCTCTCTTTTTCTTTTCACTATCCGTGTAGTCTTAGCGCACTGGCACGAGAACTGTGAATGTGATCCCCAGCAGCCTGCTGCATTGCAGATAGAGACGATGAGCACACGGATTTGAGTCCTCGCATTCAAACACAGTTGAAAAGGAAAAAAGAGACTTTTCAGCCCTGTAGGCCTGAGTCATTCTTCCTTGGTTTTGCAGCAAATTAATGGCTCCACTGCCCTTGCTTTTAGCCTAGTTGGATGGCCAGCACCTCCCAATTCAGCCAGGGCTGAGGCTTCGGCATTCTCAGCTGCCATTTTCCCTCCATTTTGGGAAGTGGCTCGTTTTTTGGGTCCATGGCTGGGGTGACTCAGGCAGTCAGCAACACACAAACACAGCCAGTACACATGCTCTGCACTCGACTAAGCTTAACTCCAGTGGCACAGAAGCCACGCTTTGAACCAAGGACAGGACATGGATCAGTGCTGAGGTGCTGGTGAGTGTTACACAGGCGAGAGGTGCCGGGCTTAGAGGCCTGCTCCTCTGAGATTTACCATGCCTTAGTTTTTAGAACGCCTGCAGAGAGAGAGAGAGGCAGACGACAGAACTGAGAAGAGCCATGGATTTTCGGTCACATCTCTCTCCAACTCCTTGAATTTGAATTTTCAAGGAATTTGAAAACTTCAGGTATTGCGTGAAAGACAAATTTCGGAGCGCTGCTTTATTTTTTTCTGGATTACTAATACTGAAACCCATTCTGTTGATCATGATGTAAACACCGAGGTTACTGCTGAGGTCTGGGATTACAGATGGGAAGAGCAGACCAAATGTATTCAGGAGTGCAAAATGACAGGAAATTATAAAATTGTTGTCCATCTGCGTTTATCCATCAAAGCTTGCGGAAGACGTTCTTGGTTGAGTCTACAGGTGCACTTCCATCATGTGAAGTGTTTCAGGCCATCTGGCTGAATTGTTTCCGTGTTTAAAATCTGCATGTCGCGGTGACGTGGTGACTTGGCAACTCGGCGCTCATCTGTCAAGGAACCACCAACCTCTCGATTAAGTCCCTTTAATCCTTTCTGCATTTGCCTCGTCTTTCCCCGCTCTCACCTCTTACTGAACCGAGGGGTTCAGGTGTGACGGGGAATCTGTGTGCTTACTCACACTGACGGCGCCTAATCTCATTTAACATTCAGTGGTTCCGAGTGTTGGCCCTGAAGACACAGTGTGGTGTGAACAATCAGCAGCCAGCGTCAGACGGTGTTCACTCCATGAATAAGACATTTGTCTACTGAGCTAATTAATCCTGAGAGGGGCCGGATGGCATCTGTCTCCGTGCCGCGTGACAGACACAGAGAAGAGGGAATTTTAGGACATAACCATGTAGGGCTGGCTTTCTCTTTCCTGTAGGAGTCGGCAAGTGGGAGAGCAGAAGCCTGACAGCTGCCTCAGGACAATGACATGAACCTTTGCCACCTTAAGTGTGTGTGTGCCTGTGTTTGTGTGGTTTGGTTATTGTAGTCTCTGAATGCACATGTGTGCTGACAGTACTGTTTTTTTTTTCTTCCTCTCACTCTTAAAACATTCCTCTCTGTCTCCCCTCTGCCTCACACACACAAACACACAGCTACCAGTTCGGCCCACCTGGAGGATCTAGCATACCTGGATGAGCAGAGGCACACTCCATTACGCACCTCGCTGCGCATGCCCAGACAGAGCACCACCTGCGGGCCGGGTCGCTCCGGGCAGGATCTGAGAGGTGAGCAATAAGCCAGAGTAAAGGAGAGCACAAACACACACACATTTGCACAAACGTGGACCTCCTTATATACCTACTTAACCTTCTTATCAGTTGTTCAGTACGAAAGACTTTAAGCATTGTCTTTACGCTGGCTATGAGAGCTACACGTGAGAGACTTGAACTGATTATGCATTGAAATAATGAAGAAACTGGCACATTAGTGAGATCCGTCTTCCTCTCTCTATATAAAGACTCCAAATACAAAGGTATGAAGAATGTATTATGATAGAAAATTATTAATCTGAAAAGTTGACATCCTGGTATCTTAGTAACTAAAAGTACAAATCTCAAACTAGTGGATATCTGGATTTTGTATATTGGAAGAATGATAGGAAAGAAAGTAATATGGCTTGACTCACAGACAGATGGCAAAGTTATATGGTCATAAACCCTTAACACATGTATCAATCCCAAATAATGAATTGACCTTTAAAGAACAATTAAAAAACAAAAGGTGTTTGTTATAACATCGAATGAAGCACTTAAATGTTAAAAATTAATAAATGCCATGCTGTATATGTCCATCTTTTTTATACCGTATGGCATGTGCTTAGGTTTCGTTGAGCATTTTGTTTGACTCTTTAATTTTCGTGCCATTTTTGCATCAATATGTGATGACAACGTCTATTTTTATGTACAAATCAGGCAGTAGGTGACTGTTCACCACGTATTGATAGTTTTCAACAAAATATCCTCCAATTCTTTAATTTCTTTTGTTTGTTTTCTAAACAGTATGGGGACATTTAGTTTGGATTTGAGCATTTGTGTGATCTTTGTTTTTATAACCGGAATATGACAGTGAGGTGTGGATCTCACGGAGAAACCAAGCAGAGTGCACACTCATGCAGTGGTGAATCATATCCTTCCTAATTGGTTATTTTACTCTCAGAGACCATAAGCTATTAAATGAACACTGTGCTGTACCAGGTAACATTAGAGATCTGGGTTTAATAACAATCTCAACAGGAAAAGTTTACGAAGGCCATAAATGAAGTGAGCAGTAGTCATTTTCTCATGGATTTCTAAATAACCACAGAATCCGCCCCCTGCTGGTCACTAGAAAGAACGCAGGTTTAAGGCTTCACTTTTCAGACCTGGAGGCTACGCCCATCTTTTATGTATATGTACTATGCTATAAACTGACCCATTGCAGTCATTTACTGTAGTGAAGCATTGCAAGGACTCGGATGATTCTGTGATCAGTAAATTTGTTTTGTTTTAATTTTTTCCACCGATCGGCCAGCTGTTTCACGTCATCCACAGTTCAGACGCAGCGATCGAGACGCTGTTCTGTTCTGTTTCTCATCCACAAACAACAAATCTCGCAAGGCGAAGCTGCATGACGAGCGAGTTATTTTTAAAATTCAAATCAAAGTCAGTGACGGTTCGTTTGCGCTCTGCGGTGTCTTTCAGATGCAAATGCCTGCACGTATCGCTAAGCTCTTATAACAGACCAGTGGTGCGGCTGTGCTGTTGGTGGTGAACTCCGGATGTCGCCGGCTGTTGTCTGTTGTGTCCTCGTGTCGTCCTTCCGTTTCGCACACAATGAGCATTTTGTCATACTGTCTCACTACTAAGATAAAATTTGTCTCTGTGCTTAACATTCAGAGTCCGCTTCACTGCACATTGTTCAAGTCTCGAAAGCAGCGAGTGCCTCTGTGATGGAGCAGCCTCCTTACCACATGGCCAAATGGCCTTATGTCACATTATGTGTCCCCTTGCCCTTCTTCCTCTATCACTTAGCCAGTAATGAGCGCTGTAATGACAGCCCTCTGCCATCCGAGCGAACACAGATATGCATCCCTGTGTGCTTTAAACACCTGTTAAGACCTCACTTAGATGAGATTGTGCTCGACTGAGCGGCGATGTGATTCCCCTGCTCAAGGGCAGCTGGCTGGCGACAGAGTCAAAGAGGTTTTATAGGGAAGAGAAAGGGAAGGAGGGGCATGGACATGAAGGAAAAGGGAAAAGACAGGAGACATTGGGTAAGAAGTAGTTGCTCTCAAAGCCTCACTGTTACTGCCAGAGCCACTTGTTTCAACCTTCCTCCTCTAAGGGCAGCCAAGTGTGTTTACAAGCCAAACGACTGCATCCTAGCATGCTTTCTGCCTCCTTGGATCAGTGTCAGTGCCTCCCTGAATGCTCTGCTCCTCTGCTTTCATCAGGAGAGACAGAGAATGAGACAGAGAGAGAGAGAGAAAAGAGAATTGAAGAACAGTGTTTTCCCCAGAAGATTATGTGGGGACGAATTACCTCAAATAATTCTTGAAATTGAAACCAGACTTGAAGTAGGGAAAACTCAGACTTAAGGATGAACCAAAGAAAAGATTATTTGATCATCCACTTCAGTTGTATTCTGTTGTCTTGAAAGCCTTTTGGTGTTGCTGACCAGATTGTTGATTTTTCTAATGATGACCTGCTTTATTTTTGACTATATAGTACCGGTTTGTAATTCTTCACACATGAATAGAATAATGAACAGGCCTCACATGACCACGGAAATTTTTGTCAGTTAATTGTCAAGTTAATTTTGAGCCTCTGCAATTCCTAAACAGTGCAAAATCTTTAAGAAGTCCCTTGAACTAAAGCTGAAAGTCTGCACTTCCTCATATCCTGGTACTTTGTACATCGCCTCACTGAATTTAAAATAAGAGGATAACTTACAAAATTGTGTCATTGTCCAAATATTTCTGGACCTTAGCTGTATTACCAGGTCCCTGCTCTTTGTGATCAAAACTTGTGCATACATGATAGATGTGAAATGCAAACATTTAGACAGATTCTACATCTAAGAAAGAGGCTCGCTGGGTATTTTGCATGAGAGGCTGCTGGATCTGGACTTACTGGAGACTGTTGGTTATGTACAGTATTGATCAGGTGGTAGCCAGCTGACAGATGCAGCTCTCTCTGTGGTTGATTCTGTCGAAGCTTCGTTTGATGCCAGCCATCGAGGGCCCAAGCTGTGCTGCTGTTTTGAGGAGAGTGAGTCAGACTGTAATGGACCTTCTTGTGCTCCTGCCTGCCTACCTCTAAGATTTACCACCCACCTTATCTTTTCACCGCAAACTCTCACATAACTGTACACTGCACACACATTTATCCTTGCGTTCTCTCTCCTTGTCTTTGTCGCTCCACTCCATCCCTTCACCCCTCACCATCTTTTCACCTCGGCTCGCATACACAGAACAGGCTGATGGTTGCACCTTTTGGCTGATAAAATATTTTTAACTCCAAATGATTTTATTACTCAAATTTTTATATATATATACTCCCTGACAGGAGTGAAAAGTAAGTAATAACTCTTAGAAATTCAGTTGAGCGCTGCATTTGATTAGACATTTAAAGGATAAGGTTTGTAATGTGCAGTATTCTTCTTACTGTCAACAAGTGACACAAGAATACCAAAGCAAAGAATAAATGGATGCCGCTAACAAGTATGACCTATGAAGCATGATGCAGTTCATTCATCTGTGCCATAGAGATCTATTGTTGTTGATTAACCTGAGCATGGTAATTTCTTTCCAGTAAGCCCCACTTATAGCAAACATATGACACAAGTACTCGCTCGAGCTACAAATGTGCATTCATTCATTCAGCCTTTTAGAATGAACTTCATAGCGATTACTTTTGAAAAACTGAGCAGCATTGACCTGGTTATTTAAAAAAATAATCCCCTTTTTAGAGATGTTTCATGTCACATGTGTGCACGCATCCGTATTTGTAACAGCGTGACAGGATGTGAACATTAGTGGTACTCCACCTCGGCTCGGTGGCACCCTTCCTTCCCCAACTCTGCTCGGTGGCATCCTTCCTTTAGTCGTTAATTAGGCTGAAACAAAATAATTCCTTCTTGAAACTCCTCAAAGTGCTTTAATTATAGAGAGTTCTGGAAAGACTCACTTCTGCTAATTCTTTGCTAATTAGTTATTTGTTTTGCTTTGTGCACCAGTAGGAGAGTGCCGTCTAGTTCTGTTGTTCACAGAGTATTCTGTAGAGTTCAGAAGTGGGGGAACTTAGAACAAACATTATATATGGATACAAAAGCACTGCAGGTCAGAAAAAACAAACAAAATGCATGTTGTGAAAACGGTGAAACGGTGGTCTAAAATTTGTTTTCCAACTTATTTCACACATTTGTTTTTTCGCACAGTTGGCACACAGCTGGAAATTGTCATCTTCAGACATTTTCTTCTGCTAGAATTATTCAGCTTTGTGTAAGTGAGGGTGCTGCCTGGATTGCAGAAAACAGCTGACTTTTACCTACACTCTCCAAGTGCTGTCAGATATCATGCAGATCCTGCCGGGAAAGATCGGCATGTTGCACGATCTGAAGGTTAAAGATCTTCTGACGTCCGATCCAGTTGCATTGAACATTTGCTGACATGCACCTCCATCAGGTGATGTCTAGAAAAGTTTAGGGCCACTAATTAGAACTACGGTGGTGTTTACAGTACACATTTATTTACAGTAAACACAACTGAAGAAGAAAGGTGGTTCTCATTTCTGCTTTAGTTAATGTGGTTAGATAATGGTCTAGATTTGATGACAGTGCACCAACTTGTTCGGAGCTTCAGATACTGTTATTTGCTCTCCGAGTACAAAGTCATAATTTATGCAGTCTGCATCTGATAAATGCATTTTGACTCCAGCTATCTAGGTTTGTAATATTTAAGTGTGTGTTGGGGTTCTTCAGGGGGTTTTGCATGTTATGTAACGTAATGACATAGTTTTTTTTCCTTTGCTTGGTTCTAAGACACAAGTTAAGTAATTGCTATGCCAACAAGGAAATAGTATGTGTGAAATGATCATTTGGTTACCACGTTATTTTTAAGATCACGCATTAGCCATAGGCACATCCACGTGTAATATGTTGCTCTAAGCTTGCTCTGCAAATTACATAAGATCAGATTTTTTTCCCCAGCAAATATTATGTAAGTTCCTGTTGTTCTGGCCATGTATTTGCTTAGCTGTAGCTCTACATCAACTGCTATAAGACATAACTCGAGTTACAGAAAAACAATCCTTCAACAAACTAAGTTTAAGCTGGGAAGTTGTTCACCTGACCTGAGATAACCCATCACCACACTCCCCAAGAGCCCCTTGCAACAAGCAGTGATCATCTAAACTGCTTATCATCCTCCTTCCCTAATATATCCCCTCTTCCTTCACTGTTGTGCCAGTTTCACTCTCCTTTCCTCTCCCCTCTTTTCTTGTTTCTGTCCTCCACCTCCCATTCTCCTCTCCTCTCCTTTCCTCCTCCTCTGCTTCTCATCTTCCTCCTCCTCTTTTTCTCCCTCCTTCTCAAGGCTGTTCAGTCACTGTGAGTCATCCTCACCTGGTGAATAATTAAAAAGTCTGAGACTCTCACTCCGTCTGGCCACGGAGGGTTGGCGTTAGAGGGGGAGGACGAGGAGGAGGAGGGGGGAGGTGGAGTGATACCTTGCTCAATGCTGCCTGAGGTGGAGTGTTATGGGCAGGATTATGAGTAACTGCCAACCATCCCTCTCAATCGTGCACACGCGCACACACACTTGCTCTCACCATCCAAACAACTCCCCTATCCCCTGTTCACAACATGGCTGCCATGTTTTCCTGAAATACCTGACACAGTGGAGCAGCGGTGGCTGTGCGACTTAACGTGCATGAAGAGATGTAATCGTTTCTGCCATTTGGAGGATGGTGTGAGGTTGCGCTTAGTAATTCCACAAGGACGGAAGAAGCTTTACGGGCACGTTTGGCGTTCAGTCACCCCCAAGATAATTGGATTAGCACCACTTAAAACTGAGTCTCTGGGTATTTAGCTTCCTACTTCATTGACCTGAGGTATCTAAGCTATTGTAAGTTGCAACACTGGGTGGCTTTCGGATCACCAGTTTCGCATCCTTCCTAGCGTAAAACCCAACTGGAAGAATTTTACATCAGCACAGAGTCGCTTCTGTCTGCCTCTGTGTGTGTTTGTTGAGTTAGCACTAAAATAATCTGACCTGGGAATATGGATGAAACGTCTTTTATTACACTGGGCTGCAGCTGGCACACAGCTTAGTGCAGTAAAATGCAGTGCTGGCCGTTCATTTGGTATAAACGTAGAGCAGCATTTTACCCACTTCCATATGTATCTGCATTTCTGCTGATTGTATAAGACAGAATATTCTCAGCGTAATCGTCACATTTCTTTTTGATTCTGCGATTATAATTAGCATTCCTGGAAAAAGGGCTAGTGCTTGCAACAGCACTTTGAAGTGCTGTGTGGTACAGGACATTAAGAGCAATATCAGCTCATTATCAGCAAACTGAAGTCTTTTAGAAAAGACATACAGCTCTAATGCAACGCTCACTCCTTCCTTGCCCCCTGCATAATTTGCAGCACTGTACCTGCACACACCGAAGAAAGAAATCTGTACACGTTCACCATCTTTCTCCTAATGTATAGTTTCTACTGCTCTGACTCACAGCATGCTTTTTTTTTTTTGGCTACTATGCTGCAGAGTGTGAAATGAACTACTGCACTGGCTATTATCTGACCAGCAGCTGTTTCTCACTGCATACTGCAAGAATCTGATTAAACTTTACCCCAGCGTACAACCCAAAACGAAAACCAAGGTGAAAATCAGATTTTTACAGTTCGTTTGAGGCTCCCTGTAATAACTTCAGATTCTGGAATATTTTACGTGAAATTGCAGTTAACGGGCTTCAACACACATGCACATGCGCACATTTGAGCAAAATAGGCTGTGGAGTTGAGGTTGGAGTCTCTCTTCACGGGGTCGAATTACTGCTCGAACTGGATTCAATTACTTTTATGGGGATTGATTGATCTCGCCCAGCGCAATGGAACCAATTAGATTCTCCCAAAAGTGCAAACCCTCTCCAACCTCCCCTCCAGACATGCTGAGAAATGCGCTCAATGTAATTCAAAGGATTTCAATTAGTAATCGACCCTGGTCTGGTGGTTCCCCATATTTCTGACATGATGATGTGCTGATGCTGCTGCTTCCCCCCCCCCTCCACTGAGTTACACCTTACCCTGTGCTCTGACACACTGCACACTGCTGTCAGTTTCCATTCCTGTCCTCACTGCCTTATTTTTGCTTCTCTCTCATTACCCTCTTTCTTCTTCTCTCTGTCTTTCGCTTGCTGTTTGTCCCAGCTTCTGCAAATAGCACCCATGCCTGGCAATCGCAGTCACGTAAGTTACTTCAACTTTCATTTGCTGCAACAGGCAGCGTGTTCTGCTCAAACTCGCTCTGCTTGCTGGCTAATGCGCTACATGTGCTCCAACACTCTCACCAGCAAAGCGTTTGGATTATTCACGTAAAACTCTAAGCTTGAAATCGGGCGTAGCTCCCAAATGCTGAGATAACACTTAAAGGAGTGACACCGTCTAGAAAAGAGCGTGTTTTTACTCTCAAAACTCCAACCAGTTTAAAAGATGAGGCCTGGGAGATGACACTCAGAGGCAGCAGACTACATTTTTACACAGATTTTTATCACACAGCTTCTGAAGTTCATACCAGATTCATTTTAGCCTCATTAGTCTTTAATGGTCCATATGTTGTGCTGAAAAGATGCCCAACCTCTGCAGGACTTTAGTTTAATTACTCCCCCTAGTGAGTAGAATCAACAGTCGGCCATGACTGTTAAAAGCAGTCACTCCCTCGACTTCTTAAAAAATATCTTTGACAACCGCGTGAACTCAAAGATTGTTTTGTTGTAAAATATGGGCTGGTAAGTGGGGAAGATCGACAATAAAATGGTGTGAATAATAAATTCCTGGGAAGTAAAAAGTTGTCATCTTTAAGTCTTTAAAGTTAAATTTTCTTGCCTTTAGTGTTCCAGAAAGTGGATTACTCCAGCTACAACTTGTAGGGATAAGTGTGCAAAACATCAAATCAGTGGTGCATTTACTGCCATATTGTGCACCAATGTGTAGCTAATTGTGCACTAATACAAATGGATACATTGTATGCACCTGTATCGAGTTCATGCACGATGTATAATATATTATTACTTGTACTAACGCAACTACAAGGTGGACTATTATTGCAAAAATATTAAAGTAACGACACAGCTTGTCACTGAAATACCACAAACTCATTCTCTATAACCCCGCAGTGCGTTTTGCTCCCTATCGGCCTCAAGACATCGCCCTCAAACCTCTGCTGTTTGAGGTGCCCAGCATCACCATGGACTCGGTCTTCACCGGCCGCGAATGGCTCTTCCAAGAGATCGACGCCCACCTCAACAACCCCAACGTCAGCACCAACCAGGGCGTGGTGATAGTAGGCAACATCGGCTTCGGCAAGACGGCGATTATCTCTCGCTTGGTGGCGCTCAGCTGCCACGGCACCCGCATGAGACAGATTGCTTCAGACAGCCCCCAGGCCTCACCCAAACGTAGGCATATGTTAATTTTAAATATGGTTTGCCTGGTTTTGACTGCACAATCTTAGTAATCACAAAAAAAAAAAACCCAAGCTGACTTCCAGTTTAAAATTGCAGTACTTTGGAAATCTTAATGAGTCTTCAGCCGTTATGTAAAAATATTTCACATATTTGAGCTGCCCTTGAGTGTGTTTGGCTGCCTTGTGTCCAGATGGAGAGGGGCTTCCTCTTACCCAACCCCAGCCTACGCATGGCACCCTTGGAGGAGGCAGCTGTCCCGGGACCCCAGAGATGAGGCGACGTCAGGAGGAAGCCATGAGGAGGCTGGCATCTCAGGTACTGGACACACCTTCACTTTTCAGCCTGCAGTAAACAGACAAAACACAGAAAAAGAATCCGGGTTAAACATTTGTCTCAAAGTATCAAAACACTACAGCTGATTGGTGTGTTTTTGACTTTTCCCCCCTCTCGTAGAGTGCTTTTACAAATGCAAATTATCTATTTTTCAACCATTTGCTTCACAAATAAGTGTGCTTGAAGTGATTGTAATATGAAATTTGATGCTCTTATTTGATTGCCGTATATTAAGGCAGTGTAAGTGCACAAGCTCAAACCACTCATGTGTATTTCTACCTCCTGGCACTTCCATATCCCCCGACTTTTATTTTCACAGCAAAATCAGTTGCCAAATATTGTGTCAAGAGAATTTGCATGCCTCTGTATTGTTTTGGATTTTGCAAAGCGTATCTGACTACCGAGGGGGAAAAAATTCTATTCAATCATCTAAATGGTCATCTAAGATTTAAGGTTAGCCTTGAAATTTCCTTAATTTGATAAGACAATTGTCTTTTCATGTCTTAAATTCACATTGTTAGTAGGATAGCCAGTGACATGCTCTTTTGAAAATACCTTTACCAAGTACATGCGCAGAGATGGCTCATGTTCTGTCAGAAATTATGCAGTTTCAAGCTTTTGAAAGAAAGTTTCTTGCTACCAGCAGGCACTCACAAGGGGCTTAGTCCTGAGGTGGTAGAATTCAAAAACAGGTGCTGGAGATAAGCTGCGACTTTGCCTTTGCCCTTTTGAAACGTTCCAAATTACGTGTGTGGCTCTTTGTTGTGGTAAATGCTTTTAAATGTTGAGCATTAACTTCCTCTAACCTGCCCGCGATGTAAACCCTTTGTGATGTGTGAAGCCGGCTCTCTTTCCTGCTCTTCTTCCTGTCTGCTGTTGCACCTCAGTACCCCCTCCTTCCCCTGCTGCGTAGCCATCTGCATCCCCAGTCCCAGCCTGATGCATTATGCAGATGTGTTTAAAAAAGAAAAAACAACTTTGCCAGGGAGCCTTATGAAATATTTATACCTGCAGAAAGCCATTTCCCAGCCAGGCTATTAGATCGTGTTAACTCTGTGAATTAATAATTGAGCTCACTCCCTTTTTCACCCCTTTTGTTTTAAAGCCCTTTATTCCACTGTGACCAAAAATTAGCATTCCATTTTGATTAGTCTTCTTTTTTTTTACCCCCTTCCTTTTTTCTCACTGCCCTCTGATCGTTGCCACCGCTTCTGAAAATTCAAGCTCTTTGTGATCTCTTAGTCCCCTGGAGTGCTCGGTCACACCTGCTGCTATTGTTTAGCTGGCTAACCTCTCAGAAAATTCACCTGCCCTCTGCTATTTTCCATCTCACCATGTGCCTGTGCAAAAATAACTTTCTTCTTTTAAAACTCATTCTTATATTTGCTTAATCAGTTAATCTGAACATGTTTCAAGTACGTAGCTGTGAATTATGACAGTTTAACACTTGACTCCTTCGTACAACAGTCTTCTCACACATGAGCATGCATGAACTAACTCAGAGTCAGTCTCTTTTGGCAGCCGGAAGCGATGAATTATTAATAGCTAAAACCATACAGCGAAACGAGCAGTATTATGTTTCATTATGCTGCAATCATCCACCATGAAGTTGACTCAATCCCAAATGAGTTGTAGCTGTTGTACACCGGGAAAGCTGGCTTTGCACTGACGGAGCCCTGAAAAAAGTGTTATTTCTAAAAGTGTGTCATGTGTCCCCAAGTGCTCCTTGACACCGATCTTGAGTTTGCAATATCCAGAGGTTGCTCAAGGTTGGGAGTACCAGAGGGAAATGGGGAGTGTTCACCTTTACAATTCTCCAAATGACCTGGCTTGCAATCTTCTCCCAACTCTCTGTCGCCCCCAGGTGGTGGCGTACCACTACTGCCAGGCAGATAACGCCTACACCTGCCTGGTGCCAGAATTTGTGCACAATGTTGCGGCTCTCCTGTGCCGCTCACCGCACCTAGTCGCCTATAGGGAGCAGCTGCTGAGGGAGCCACACCTGCAGAGCATCTTGAGTCTGCGGTCCTGCGTCCAGGACCCCCTGGCCTCCTTTAGGAGAGGGGTCCTGGAGCCTTTGGATGCACTTTACAAAGGTGAAGCATTTAGAGTTTGTATTTCTCAAGTATTTCTGCATATGTGGACAGATTAGCTCAACTAACCTAGGGAGAAGAGGGAAAAATATAATTCTGAAAAAAAAAGGAAAACACTGGAAGATTATTAACTTAAACTATAGCTACCAGTTTGAAATTGCAAAAAATTGTCACTAAACGTAATAAATAGCTTTAAGTGTAGTATTAAGTAAAAGTAGTGGACAGGTGGTTGAAATTGAGTATGTGTTTCTTTATATATTACTTCCAGTTGATCTTGAGCAATAGTTCTCCAGGTTTTTTGATGGCATTTCAAAAATGTTCTTTGGACATTGGCTGCTTTTATTCATTTTCAGTCCAGTCCTTGTACATGAATCGTTTTCAGATCAATGTTTATTTTTAAGCCACTTAACCCTGACCTATAAATCAAGCATTAAAAGGGCACCAAACTCAAAGGAAACAGGCAGTAAACAGACAGCTTAGCAAAGAAAATTTTTTAAATTGTATCTTTAGGCACTTTGTTGCCTGTCACAAAAACCTGATTTTCCTCTGTTTTTTTAGTTGAATCTATGAAAAATGCCAAATATAACAGTTTGACAGGCATGAAATAGTATTTTTGCACCACCAAGGTGATTCATAAAGACCTATTAACAGGAAAAAAATGTCTTATCTTGGCATGCTATGAACAATTTTTTTTTAGGAAACTGGGCAAGTGGAGTACAACTGGCAGGTTTGACAGGGCCTTTAAGGTAGGACAGAATAAAGAAAGGCTGGGATAGGTGGTTTAAAATAGTAACCATTACAATTCAGAGAAAACATGCATATTGCACTTGATCTGCTCTATGTGTTTGACAACATTATATTGTTAAGGTTTAGAGCAGCTACATCTGAGATGTCTGTAAGCTCCATCTTTCCCTTTCAGACATTAGTAGTTTCACTTCAGCTGTTTGAGGTCCTGAGCTGTTTATAATACATAAAAAGGTTCATCTTTTTATTACATGTTTTCACTTAATTTTCTCTGTAGGTCTAAATGTGTTGATAATTTACATATTGAGCTGTAATTTTTAACAAGTTAAAAGTATTTTTCTCACAATTCAAACTTTGTGCCCTTTCACAGTCTAATTTATTCCCTGACTTGACACATTGGTTCAATATTAATTTCCTTATACTCAAAGTACTCACAGTATAATTATTACCATATCAAATTTCTTTCTTAGTGCTTGATCTTCAGTTGTGTTGTGGGCTCGGGAAGATATTTCAGTCAGGACAACTGTAGTCTAGAAAAAATTACATTTCCTTCTTTAGTAATGAATATTTTGGCAGAATGGTTCTGTTCTGGGACCTCTGTTAAACTTCCTCATACATACATGGAAAGCCAGGGCTGAGGAGAACAGCAGCAAGACACAGATGAAAGGAGAAACTGGGGTGGAGGAGGTTTGCAAAGTGGCTTGCACAGGGAGCAGCAGCTGTAGGCAGGTTAAAGCAGCATGCTTTTTAGCTGCGCCATAAGGTGATGTGGACTCGATTGCAGCAATTGGGGCTGAGCTTGACTTCATGGCCTGCCTGAACTTCCTCTAACCTTCACCCTGTGTTTTTCAGAGAGGAAGATTAACTCTGAGGAGGATCTCATTATCCTCATTGACGGCCTCAACGAGGCTGAGTTCCACAAACCAGACTATGGAGACACCATTGTCTCCTTCCTCACCAAAACCATCAATAAGTTCCCTCCCTGGCTCAAACTGGTGGTCACAGTCAGGACCACGCTACAGGTAAACGTCATACCATCTTATTATTTATTTTTGAGCTCTATATGAGTTCCTGTACTTGTGAGTATCTACAGTTTAACAGTATCGTTCTACCAACGTCATGAAAAATGACTTCCTAACTGAAATCATTCTGACTTTCCAGGAGATCACCAACGCGCTGCCTTTTCACCGAATCTCTCTGGACAGCCTGGAGGAGAATGATGCCATAGACCAGGACCTGCAGGGCTACATCCTGCACCGCATCCACAGCAGCCCGGAGATCCAGAACAACATCTCGCTCAATGGCAAGATGGACAACACCACCTTCGGCAAGCTCAGCACCCACCTCAAGGCCCTGAGCCAGGGATCCTACCTGTACCTCAAACTCACCTTTGACCTCATTGAGAAGGGCTACCTTGTCCTCAAAAGCTCCAGCTATAAGGTATAAATTTGTTATGGCTTTCACACTTATGCTAATATACCTAACCCGACACTGACCTCAGAAGTAATGAAGTCTGTGCATGCACGTCACTTATTATTTGCAGATGCACTGCTGGAGAGCTGTTTTTGTTTACCTGCACTCTGACATGCATTGTGTAGAAGTAGTTTCAAATAACTCTGTTTTTGACAGTCTGAATACAACACATCTTTCATAAATTATGCATTTGAAATGTTTTGTTGTAGTATTTCATTATGAAATATTTTATCTCACGCCCCCAGATTCATTTAATTTCATGTATTCAGACAGGCTTCCAAACTTTATTTCTTAAAAAAAACATTAAAAAATGACATCTGATACATATCTGAATCCACATTCTTCTCTCTAAGGAAGAGAAAGTGGAATAGTTGAAGATGGGCTGTACAAACATGATCCATTATTCATGTGGTGTAGGGTTATATCCAGAGGAAATCAACATTACAAATCAGAGTCCCTCCTTCCATCCTTCCTTCCTCAGGTGGTTCCAGTCAACCTGGCTGAGGTATACCTGCTGCAGTGCAACATGCGCTTCCCCACACAGTCATCGTTTGAACGGGCGCTTCCCCTGCTCAACGTGGCTGTGGCCTCGCTCCACCCGCTGAATGATGAGCAGATATATCAGGCCATTAACGCTGGTTCGCTGCAGGTAAGCTATTCCAAAACACACAACACCTCAGACCTTTGGACCTTCTAGTGAGGCCGTCAGTGGAAGAAAACGGTGTTCTTGTTGATATTAAAACTAGACATCCTGTTAAGGGGCAAGGAGGAAATAAAATTCAGCTTTGATGCTTTTTATTGTTGATGATTGATTAAAAACTGCTGGCTTCTGAGTAGGGGTAGACAGAAAATAACTAGTTTTCTTTAATGGGTTTCAATATACAAATATATTGAAAAACTTCAAAATTGCTGAAATACTATTATAGAAGGAAGATTTTCATGTCTTTAAACATTAAAACATCATCCTCTTATTACTCATATTTGTGGTGGTATTTGTGCAGTATTGTTTGCTTCCCTGACTGATATCGACGTCATCTAGGCAGCAAATCCTTAAGAACATAACTGTTGATAAACGCATGCTTTTGATCTCCGATCTTTAACATTGAGACCATGTTTGTGGTGACAGGGCACCCTGGACTGGGAGGATTTCCAGCAGCGTGTAGATAACTTGTCGGTCTTCCTTGTGAAGAGGAGGGATGGCACCAGGATGTTTGTTCACCCCTCCTTCAGAGAGTGGCTGATCTGGAGAGAAGAAGGGGAAAAAACAAAATTCCTGTGCGACCCTAGGTGAGAAGGGGCAGGCAGACATGAGAAAAGAGACTCTCCCCATCATGATTGCTGAAGATGATCGTAAGAAGGTTTAATAAAATCATAATAAAACAGAGGTTTATTAACCGGATTTTGGGGAACATGTGAACAGGTTATTGGATTTTTGGGGAGAAAGCTGTGAAGAATTCACAGGCAGTATTCTCATTATATTTAAAATTGCATCTATAGTGTCACATAATCAGAATCTTTAAATGCAAACGTCTCTGTTTACACTTTATTTTCCTGCATTATAATTAAAACTCCACAGATAACAAAATGTTATGACCTGATGACTCAGTCTCAAGTATTGAAAGTGTTTTTCTGTCTCCACAGGAGTGGGCACACCCTTCTGGCCTTCTGGTTCTCTCGGCTGGAGAACAAGCTGAACAGGCAGCAGACGATTGAGCTGGGCCATCACATCCTCAAAGCACATATCTTCAAGGTATACTGTTGTTTGTCCTCACACTCGTCTATAGATACACACATACACGCCCCCATGCAGCTGTGGTCTAGCTCTGCAGTAATGAATATTTACACACTGTCTCTCTCTTTTCAAGGGTCTCAGCAAGAAAGTCGGAGTTTCCTCATCCATCTTGCAAGGCCTGTGGGTATCCTACAGCACAGAGGGTCTCTCAGCTGCTCTTTCTTCACTCCGAAACCTCTACACTCCAAACATCAAGGTACAGGTGCTAGCACGGCTGAGAGGAGAATATTCAAAAACACTCTGGATACTAAAAAAATGAAAACTTCTCTGACTATGCTTCAAAGAGATCTGCCTCTCTCTGGACTGCGATGGTTTGAATACCCAAAGTCATAGTTTGCAGTGGTAGCTTTTCCTCATATTTCTTTATTTTTGTCTTTAATGCATTTGTTTAGGTGAGCCGGCTGCTGATGTTGGGCGGCGCCAATGTGAACTACCGTACAGAGGTGCTGAACAACGCCCCCATCCTCTGTGTCCACTCCCATTTGGGCTACATGGACATGGTGGCTTTGCTGCTTGAGTTTGGCGCTTCTGTTGACGCACAGTCTGAAAGCGGCCTCACGCCGCTGGGCTACGCTGCTGCTGGCGGGCATATGACAATTGTGACTGCACTCTGCCGCAGGAGAGCGAAGGTTTGTGAACGGAAATGGCAAGGGGAAAAACTGGCCTGATTTCCATGTAACATGTTTTTGATCAAATCTATATCCTGCTACCAGGTGGACCACTTGGATAAGAATGGTCAGTGCGCGCTGGTTCACGCAGCCCTCAGGGGCCACATGGAGGTCGTGAAATATCTTATCCAGTGTGACTGGAGTATGGGGTCGCAACAGCAGTCACCGCAGACTCAACAACAGTCGACCTTCACCAAGAGTCACGCAGTCCAGCAGGCTCTTATCGCTGCAGCCAGTATGGGATACACAGAGGTACAGCAGGGACACATGAATGGGGACGAATTTGGGTTATTATGCTACATAAATGGTTCTTCAAATCTTAACGTGATGATTAAAACCTGGGTACTCAAGCCTAGTCACCTACAGACAGATTTAGACTTGCAATCAATGCATGATTTAGATTTCTGCAGGAAATCTACGTCCTAACTCATGATGTAACTGAATGTAACCCTTCTGAACCCAATGCTGCAACCTTCCATGCCATTCAAGTTGTTGCGGACTGCATTGACCCGACATGTGGTTACACGTCTCGGTATGTGTGCGCCAGGTCACGTGGAAAGTTGCGGTTAAAAGGTTTCGTTATGTTGGAAGTTATAGTGTAGGTTTCCTGCATAAGTCTAAACCATGCATAAATCAGGGAAACAAACAGAGGGAAAGGCTTAAAGCTGAGATGGTTTACATGAGAATCGTACTTAAGGAAAACAGGAATCTCAAACTACATGTTTTTGTTATTTAACTTCTTTAATTAAGTACTTTATTTGTATTTTTTTTTTTTTTCATTTTTGAAAACAAGCGTTAACACATTTTTATTATTTTATTATCAGAGTGTCCTCCAGGACATTGTGAAATGTAATAATAAATATCTTTGAAACACTTTTAATAAGTTATACTTGACAGTCAGTTGTTGACTATATACAGACACTGATCAAACTTTTAGCCTGCTGCATTAAATTATAATGCATATGGAACTTTGATGTTCTGGAGCCTAACTGGACCGCCTTAAATTTTAATTGAATACCACTGCTGTTCAGTTCCTTTGAGCTCATTGCTATTATTGACTATTTTCATTTTGTTGAGTCTCTGTATTAAGTTGTAATAAAAAAAAGTGACATAAAATGCTAGAAGTACTTGTTATTGCACCATTTTTGTGGCTTCGTGTACAACATTCACACCAATGGTGGTGGTAAATCAGATTTAGTAACCCTGTAAAAGAAGCAATAACTATAGAATTTCTCATTGAGGCTTGTTCTGCTGTGTAAGCCATCTGTTAAAGATGCTCTCTGTAGTCATCACTTGTTGGGGGAAGAAAAGGAAGGTTACATTAACTTTTACAAATTTGAAGTCACTTAGAAATGCCACTATTTTTTAAAGTAAGGCTATTAGCATTATATTAATCAGAAATGTTGTAAATGGTGAACAATGCAGTCACTCGTCGCTATTCATTCATTCATTCATTTGCTTTTTGATACACTAGCCACAGATATACTTTTTCAAACATCACTCCTGTTTTTTGTTTGTTTTTCAACCCCATTGACAGTTTTATGGTGTTAAAATTCCAGCTGATCATGTTAGCTCAGCTCAAAATTCAGATTTCAGAGTACAAGTTCAGTTTTTATAGGTTTGCTGTCCCCTTAGGAATAATTTTCTTCTGAGACTTTGTTTTCACACAACAGGATGTGCTACTCCCTTCCCAAACCACCACAAAGTTAATCAAGCTGCCAGCTGAGGCCTGTTAGGAGTTTATTTCTCAGATTGTGATGTTCCTATCCTCTCGCTCAGTTATGCAGCGATGTCTTCCACTTCTTTCTGTTTTGGGAGGGGAGTAGTACAGACCGCTGTATGAGAACTGAAATGCGGTTCATTTCTGAGAACTTAATTAGATTCAGAATAAAGAGGCTTTTGGTCTTTTTAAGAGGGACAAGAAAATGATGCTCCGAATACTCAACTGTCCAAATGTGCCTATTTAATCAGCAGAACAGTTTTCATATTTAAAACTGGATAATTGGATAAACATACAATAGGTTACACAATGTGTCACTGAAACATGGGCGTGATGATTGCTGATAATTGGCCTATCTGGTATGTTTGTGTGTAACTACCAGCTGTTAATCACACGTACCTGCTGTAGGGTTTGGAGAAAAAAGCACTTTGGACATTTTTAAATATATGAATTATATGAAGTTAAGCTGGATGGTAAATGTAATGCGATTCCTAATGTCAGCTCACTGTAATATAAATATATTCTGCAGTTGACTGGCAGAGATCTGGTTGTCAGCACTGTTGCTGATGACTTGTGTACAATCCTGTCTCTCAGATCAGATTACAGCAGATTTAAAGGGTAGTAGATTTTGCTCTGTAAGAGGAAACTTGGACATTAATCAGTGCCATCTTGAATCCTGTTCTCCATCAGATCGTGTCTTACCTGCTGGACCTGCCAGAGAAAGATGAAGAGGAGGTGGAGCGGGCTCAGATCAATAACTTTGACACCCTGTGGGGAGAGACAGGTGGGAATCCATACTGTAACTGAGCATTATGCATCTAAAACCACCAGTTCAGAATAACAGATGACTGTGAATGCTCATGTTAAATCCCCTGTGCAAATGCAAAGATGTATCATCGTTTTTTCCCCATAAAGTTCAGACTGATGGAGTTTCTGTGAGAGGGTTTTTCACTGCGAGGCAGAGCGCTGCAGTGCGGATGTGGGAGATGTTTCTTGTGTGTCTGCTGCTGGCTGCTGCTGCGTCAGACGCTGATGACAGTGCAGTGGTGTCATTGGAGCATAGACAGGGCTGGGCCCACACAGGGGAGAGGAGGGGGGCTTTGACTGAGCTCTAGGGTGCTTAGAAATGACTAGTCTGATTGCAGGATGTTGAGAAATGTAATGTATCATTATAACCTAGAGCTATAAAACCTCATTGCAATCTTTAGTGCCCCTGCTACAGTTTTGGAACGACTGTCTTCTCACTGTTGAAGAGGGGGAGTCATTCAGCTCTGCTTTCATTGTTTATAAGGGTTCAAAAGGGTAACAGCTGTTCTGGCACATGATTTCCAATCCCAGTGTTACTAGATAGGTCAAGTGGAAGTATGTTAACAGCCTGAGGGAGACTATGCATATTGACACTTAGAGTTTATGATATACCTAAATGTTTCTCCAGCAAAGAACAAGTAGGTTAAAGCTGGGCTCACACTACCAGGTCTGCTGTCGCTCTGATTCAGTCTGCTGAAATGATTTCAATTACATCTCTCCTCTCCTCATCACTTAAAGTACCTGCGTCTTATGTACATTAAAGCAATAATCAAGTCAGTATGTGTAAGTGTAATCTCTATGAACCTAAAGCTCGAGCTTCATACTGGTCTAAACTCTCTTTCTCACAGAGAGAGGATATCCTTAATATGGTCATCGGGCTCAGCGGTCTCTCAAGTCTGTTATTCAAATTAGAATAAAGTGAAAGGGAAAGGCGTTCAAATGGCTTACTTCAGACAGAGGATGAATTAGGGGCTCAAGTCCCAGCATGAGATTAATAAGGATTCTTTTGACTTACTAAAAAACGAAGATATGCAATTATGCAAAAAAGTATGGAGTTGGAAATGAGCAGATGATAATATGCTAATTTTGTGCTCCTAACTAGCCATAACATCACACGGTTGTGTATCTGTGCATTCAGCTCTAACTGCAGCCTCTGGTCGTGGGAAGCTGGAGGTTTGCCGTCTGTTACTGGAGCAGGGTGCAGCTGTGGCTCAGCCCAACAGGCGAGGCATCGTCCCACTGTTCAGCGCCGTCCGGCAGGGACACTGGCAGGTCAGTGGCCACCTGATCCTATTTGCTAAATGAATATATTTTGCTTTGCAAAAAAATGAAAAATTTGGATGCATCTCATTAGGCTTTGGGAAAAGCTTAATTTTCCCTGCTGTTGCCTAATCTAACTGTCAGAGTAATAGTTTTAAAAATGAATTTCTAGCTGCAGTTTTCGTGTTAACTTATCTCTTTGATGTTGCATTGGGTGTTGCAGATAGTGGACCTTTTACTTACACATGGAGCAGATGTGAACCTGGCTGACAAGCAGGGTCGTACACCTCTGATGATGGCTGCCTCAGAAGGACACCTGGGAACTGTTGAGTTTTTACTAGTTCAAGGTGAATAAAGAAAAGAACTTGAAAGCAAATTGAAACTCAGTCAGGTCAATGTATTTAGCTAAAAAAATACTTCTGTCACAGCAGGAAACCGATACAACATTGTAATTGTTGTTGGGAAGTGTTTGTGCACATCTCTCAACAGATCTTCTGAACCCAAATAGTGAAGGGAAGAAATATGTGTCGGTATTTGCCTGATGGTCATGCTAGCACTGCTAAATGTTTCTGTATTTGGACTGGGTGCAAACACAAAGTTGTATATCAAAGTCAGACATGATGGATGGCAGGAGAATCAGATTTGACAGGTCACAGGAGCCAGCGAAGGATAAAAGAAAATCCCCTTAAAATGGAAAAGATTCAAAGCAAATATATTTGCCTCAAATTGATTTGAGATTACAACACAAGAATACTGACTGCACTAATAAAACTGAACCTAATTACGGTTTTCAAATTATGTTTACTGTAATTGGATCCAAATGAAATCAATGGCAAATTTACAAAATCAATCAAAAGTAATACAGCAGTTAGTTATTAAAAAAACAGAGACACACAAATTCAAACCAGCCAACCACAGATGGAGATTACTCTGAGATGGAGTACAAAAATACTGTTTCCTGTCCCAGGAGCCTCCCTGTCATTGATGGATAAGGAGGGTCTAACTGCTCTGAGCTGGGCGTGTCTGAAAGGCCATTTACCTGTTGTCCGCTGCCTGGTGGAGAGCGGAGCCGCCACTGACCACGCGGACAAGAACGGACGCACGCCCCTCGACCTGGCTGCCTTCTACGGCGACTCTGAAGTGGTATGTAGCTAATGTGGAAACCAAAGGAATGCATATACGACACCCATACGTAGCTCGTATGTGTCTGAGCAGGTTTTTATATTGCTGACATTGATTTAGCAAATTTGTAACTAGCTTAGCTATTTCTATGGTAAGCTATAGAGTAGTATGATTTATTTTTTATAGACAGAGGTGTCAAACATAAGGCCAAGGGGCCAGAATGGGCCTGGCAAAGACCCTAATCCGGCCCCACTGGGCATATTTCAAACATTTTAAGGAAAGCACCAAATTTTGACTTTTAAGTATATTTTCACAAGTTCTACAACATTACCTTTACTGATAAAGACCTCCCAAATGGTCATACATAATAATAATAATAATAACTATCAGCAATTTGACCTACAGTAACTCGTCTTGCTGGATCAGACCACACCAGCCTTCACTTCTCACGTGCATCAGAGACTCCTTGGCCAACCATGGCCCCCGTTGCTGGTTCATCACTGTTCCTTTGTTGGCGTAATGTACAAGAGAGGCTTTGGAATCCTGGATGATATGTCTCTCTGTCCTTCTCTTTTTCGCTCATTCACTCCATTTTCTTTGTCTCTCCAGGTCCAGTTCTTGGTGGACCATGGGGCCATGATAGAGCACGTAGACTACAGCGGGATGCGTCCTCTGGACAGAGCAGTGGGCTGCAGAAACACGTCCGTGGTAGTCGCCCTGCTAAAGAAAGGAGCCAAGATAGGTAAGAGCAAGTTGACAGAATTAAAGAACCTATTATTTAGCAAACGGACGAGGGACTCTTAAGTGCAGCACCTTTGTTCTGTAGCGCCACATAACAGCATTATTTGCCTGCTGTGAAATAAGATACAATTGGAGATTGTATTTTGGCTGAAAAGGTCATGCATCGGCGTTTAAGCATGAGCTGCATGAAAGACTATAAAAGGAGAATTCACAAGATGATTGTGTACACACTTCCTGCTGGTCATTATAGAGCACTGTAGTACTCCAGTGTAATAAGCCATGGATTCAGGTTTGTGTCTCCATGTAGCATAAACAACTTCCTGCTACTGTATGCCATCCCACCCCCCTGGTGCTGCTTCTCCACAGCTATTTATGGCACTGATGTGTTTCTTTTTATTGTACTACTGTTGCTGTTGTGTTGTTTTGCTTTCTCTCTCTCTGTCATGTTCTCTCAGCGCCTCTGTTTGTCTCTATCGCTCACGCTATCTCCCTGTTTCTCTCACAATCACGTCCTCTCTCTCGATTCCTCTGCGGTTGCTCAGAGACAGGTTGTTATTAGCGCTTGCGGTGGTTTCTTTTTGTTTTTTTCTTTTGTATCTTTTTGCTGAGGCACTTATCTCCGCTTCTCACTGCTGCTTGTATTCCTTTTCTCACTTCTCTTCCTCCTCCACCATCATCACCTCTCTTCTCTTTCACCCTCCTGCTGTTTCTATCTCTTTCTTTCCTCTCATTCCTACGCACTCCTACACCCCTGTTTCCCTGCAACCCTGCCCTCCCCTTCCTACTTACACTCCATCTCTTGCTCATGACCTCCCTCCTCTTCCCCTCTTACTCCTATCCCCCCGCCTCTCTCTCCGGCCCCAGGATGTCAGACGCTGCCCAGTCGGCCCCGAGGTAAAGCCAAGGCTGTCGACTTCTCACCCTACCAGGCATTTTGACAGCTCTATCTCCTCTCTCTGTGTTGTCTGTGTCGTCCTAAGTGTCGGCAGGCGAGCTTAGCTACCAAAAACCTTCCCAAACTGACAAATAATAACATGCAAAGGTATTAGCACTGACAGAGACGCAGTCGGGATTGCCTAGAGGTAGATGCTAACGTTGAAGTGGTTAATGACAGCATGCCCAGCCTCCAGCCTGTGACGTCGTATCAAGGTGTTGACCCTCCATCCCACAGATGCATGACGGAAGCCCACAGTAACTCTTGCGTGGTAGTGATTTAGCGTCACTGCATGTATTTGTAATACCTCTGTGCCACCGCCACCACAGACTGCAGTGATAAACCATCCTCCAGACGTTTTGTCAGTGTCAGCTAGGCCAGGCAGCAGCATTCCCACCCTCACCACCAGTTCAGGGGACAGCTTACGCCTGCAGAGCCCCGTTTTATCCCTCCTGCTTGCCTCTTTTGTTTTTCCCGTAACTGCCCCTGTGTCTCCTTGTGCTAAATCCTCCTCCTTTTCATCTCTGTGGTGTGTGCACATGTGTCAAGGATTGCTGTTGCGCAGATACAACAAAGACCGTTTCAGTCAAGGGATTGTGTTTGATTTCTCAATCATTTTTTTCCCCTGTTAGTTTTTTTTCCCCCGTTTGATTTTCTTGCTTTTTAATCACGTCTGTGAATTACTGTACACCTGCACTTCTTAACAAGACAGAAACTGTGTCTTAGTAGAAAGTCATGACAGTATGCTTTGATTTAATTTCTCTGTATACACATCTACACTAGGTTGCCTGGGCCAAAACATATTTGCAGATATTATATAATTAATTGTTAAAAAAAATAAAAATAAAAAGCCACTTTTCACAACAATGACAATGCTAATTTTTGTACGACAAATAAGCACTTTTAAAAAATGATTGGCAAATAGCATTTGACCCAGGCATGATGTCACGATGGTGACAGTGCTCTCGAGGTGTCAGGATAGTTTTTTATTTATTTTTTCGTAATCTTTCCTCTGCAGTGGATTGCCTGTCTTTTCTCTTCCATTCCTCCATTTTGACTGTTGTCCTCATTCCTGTTATTATTGTTGTGTGTACTGTGACTCCCAGTCGCTCCTCTCCTCTTTCTCCTCCTGCTCCTTCTCTCTGCTTATTACTGCGTGTCTTTCTTTCATCTGCTCCCCCCTTTGTCACACAGGTCCAGCCACGTGGGCTATGGCCACCTCCAAACCCGACATCATGATCATCTTACTCAGCAAACTCATCGAGGAAGGAGACAGTTTCTACAAGGTCAGAGAACAGGCTGTGCACTCAGCAGCTCAGATTTCATACTGTGAATGAAAGATGGGTTATGGATATCCTTTATATGCAAGTTTAAAGATGCCTTTTTGGTAAAGTCATAAACTCCCATTGAAAAATTCTGATCTTTGTGTCGCATATCTGGCTATAAATCATATCCATATTAGAATATTCATAAAGCCAAAGACATTATTTAAATAAGATCTCAGTAGTGTTTGTCCACAAATGAATTTATATGGCTAATTAGATATTTTGCAATTTATCCATCTAGATTGTTTTGGTGCACGTTGCCCAATTTTGGAAGCTAGTACATGCCTATCCCCCATCTTTGTGAACACGAGAATGAAATGACGTAGGAGTTTCAAAGGAATACTATAGATACATCTTCTCAAACATCATAGGTGTGTTTGACTGTCTGTGACCTTGACTTGAGTGTCAAGGTCACAGAGTTTTCTGAAAATACTGTGAATGCGATAACTTGAGAAAGATGCCATCTTGGATTTTCAAATTAATATCATAGATCCATCTGCTTGGAGGGTGAGGGGTAGCCCACCAGTATTTTCTAATGTGTTATAGGTGCTTAAACGGTACAAATGGACTATTTTAGCCTGTGATGTAGTCGCTAGAGAATATTATGGTGCAAAAATATATTGGGCATAAGTTTTGTGGATATAAAATACATATCATTGGGAAATTAAAATCACACTATGTTCTCATAAGGTGTTACAAGTGGGTATTTTAAACCTCTTTTTAGGTGGTTGGGAAAAATGATGACATCATAATATCTGGTTTAGAATTGAAGATGAAGTGCCTGCGTGCTCTTTATGGTTCTTCATAAAGATCTTGGCTCAAGAGTTGGGAGTTCGCCTTGTAATCGGAAGGTTGCCGGTTCGAGCCCCGGCTTGGACAGTCTCGATCGTTGTGTCCTTGGGCAAGACACTTCACCCGTTGCCTACTGGTGGTGGTCAGAGGGCCCGGTGGCGCCAGTGTCCGGCAGCCTCGCTTCTGTCAGTGCGCCCCAGGGTGGCTGTGGCTACAATGTAGCTTGCAATCACCAGTGTGTGAATGGGTGGATGACTGGATGTGTAAAGCGCTTTGGGGTCCTTAGGGACTAGTAAAGCGCTATATAAATACAGGCCATTTACCATTTCAACTCCTGATCATGTCGGGGAAAATTTGCATTGGCTATTTGCTGTAATGATCTTTTCTTTCACTTAAAATAAATGGAATTAAAGAGGACCCAGCTTACGGTGCTAAAAGTGGAAACAATGCTAAAAAAATAACTTAGCAGAAATGTCTCTTTCCAGAAATCAGTTTCTCAAAATAAATCGAGAGCAGTTTTGTTTGGGGAAACCGCTCAGATGCTTGACTGTAATGCCGGCTAGCTGCATGCTTCTTCTGGCTGATCATTGTAGTTTATTAAAAAGAAAATAGTTCCTACATAAAACAGCTTACACCAAAATGTATTACACGATTTGATTTGATGCAATTTATTTATTTGTCGTTTGGTTTTTGGAAAGAAACTAAATGTATTTTAAGAAGGTAGAAATCTTCTATTCTGTCTATTCTACAAAACTTGGCAATTCACAACAAAACCATCCAGATGGATGAATAGCACTGCAACAGTACTTGGAAAAAATGATTTTGGAATTTGGATGCAGTGATTAGTCCAGCTGGCTCCATACAAGAAAGTTCCTGATTCAAAATAACTGATTGTAATCATGTATTGGGTGGAAAATAAATGCTTACCAGCTGAAACATCAAATATCTGAAGAATATGAAGTTTTCATGTTATCCTGTGTGGGTACTTCTTTGCACAGTCCAAATACATGCTTGGTAGGTTAATTAGTGATTAGAAGTTGTCTGTAGGAATGAATGTAATGTGTGCTATCATCCCATTATCGCTAGAATATATTAATATCGCAATAGTGTGCCCTGAGGTGGATAAGTGCTGAAGAAATAAGTAAATATATGTGTGTGTGTGTATATATATGTATATATATATATTAGGGGTTCAACAATACATGTATCGGTATTGAACCGTTCGATACAGTGCTTTCGGTTTGGTAAGCATGTGTATGAACAATACAAAATTTTTAATTTATTTTATCAACTTTTCTTCTGACGATGCTGTCTGTGTTGAGAGCTCAGAGGATCTGCGTTCGACTACTCCGCCTAGGCTGTACTGTCGAGCGCAGATCCACTGAGCGCAGCGCAAGCTAGTGAGACAGAAGCTAAGCTCGTAGCAACGTGGCAACTGCCTCAACGCTACCCGAAATTGAGCCTCCTCCACCCTCATTCAGATCTGGCGTTTGGAACTCTTTTGGTTTTCATGTGAAGTATGACCCTGATGGACAAAGGTAAAACAGTATGTCGGATGTGCCACGCAATGCTCAATTATATTGGTGGGAACTAGTGCGTAGCACAGTTAGTTCGTTAACATGTTGACACCGTCCAGCCCCACGCATGGAGCAATCCGCGGTAACTTGTTAACGGAGATTTGCCGCGTTATGGCGTTAACATCATTTTAATGAGATTAACGCTGACAGCACTAGTGGGAACACAATGAATATGACTGCACATTTACGCTGACATCATCCTAGTGCAAAGACAAGTGGAAGCAGACAAAAACAACAAGCATGCATGCTACAAACTTCACCTGAGTCATTTAGACAGCCGTTAGCACATGATTCTCCTTATGGGGACCTGATATGTTTAATATGCTGCAGAGAATATACCACCGAAGAAGCGTATAGTATAGCTTTTATTTTGGAAAGAGCCATTTCTCTGTTATAAACTGTCTTTTCCAAAGATGAGCGATTTCTCGATCGGATAGATTTATTTATTTTTTTATTCTTTTGTTTCAGCAACATTAAATTTAAAAACTACTTTTGAGTTAAAATATTTTGTATCGAAAAAATATCGAACCTGACACCAAAGTATCGAACCGAACCGTGAATTTTGTGTATCGTTGCACCCCTAATATATATGTGTATATATATGTGTATGTGTGTATATATATATGTGTATGTGTTAGTATATATATAGTGTTAGTATATATATATATATATATATATATATTATATATATATATATATATATATATGTGTATATATATTGTGTATATATATGTGTTGTATATTGTGTGTGTATATATGTGTGTGTATTGTTATATATGTGTGTATATATATGTGTGTATATATATGTGTGTATATATATATATATTATGTATATATGTGTGATATATATATATATGGATAGTCTATGTCAACAAGATGGTTTAGATCACTAATTCAGATCCATGAACCCTCAGGTTGGAGTCTAGAACAATAGGATCGATCGTCAAAGTTCTAAGATCAGTCCTGCATTCTTCCATGGCCAAGTCTGGCTCGTGTCTGAGATCGATCCCGTGTAAGACTCTATAGGTGGATACCTAGCGTGTTAGACTCAGAGCCTTAGGTCACCCTGGTCACCTATGCTAAGCGAGCCTACCGCAGACATGAGCGAGACAGATAAATATGAAGGCATGCCGGCTCGGACGTCGCCCGGATCAACAAGGTCCGCGTCAGGTGTTGAGGAACCAGGGCACCCTGACGAAAAGTGGGCTACTGGAACAAGAAGGCATCGGTGGGCAAGAGAGAAAACAGGGCGTTGTTGGAATGCTACTACGCAAGTAACCCCGGCGGAAGGGGCTACATGTAGGGGATCCCACAGCTAGGCGAGTGGCTCCAGCAGATCCCGGAATAACATCGGAGATCTCTGTCCAGAAGAGCGCAGTCCTGGGAACAGCTAAGATACTGCGCAGGACCCTCAAGCTCCCAGGCCTCTGGTGAGGACCCGAGCTTCGAAGGATAAACCGCCCGCAGGGGCGTGCTGGGTGTTATAAAATAAAATCTGTTGAATTAGATTTTGAATTATAAATATACTAGGAAATTTCACAACATGTCAAATAGAGGTGGGAATCACCATACAACTCACGATATGACATTATCACAATACTTAACGCACAATACAATATTATTGCAATTTTTAAAAATATTTTGCGATATTCAGATTCTGTACATAAAGGTAAACTTTATCAATATTCATTTTATCTAATATCAAAGTCTCACACTCAGTCTTTCTCTCATTTCAGTCAGTTTTATTGTTGACAAACTGAACGGTTTGTATTACAGTCTAGTCCAACTTAACTGAATGCAACCATCTGGTACAATTATAGCTATTCTGAACTATGAAATTTATGAAAACTATGCAGCCCCTTCAGCAACTGAAGAATTTGAAAGTAAATTAAAACAAAATATAATTTTACATTAAATAAAAAAAGTTTTAAACTTAATTAAAATAAAACATGTCTTAAATTAAAATAAGTAAACTGTCATGTTTATTGCTGCCAAAAAACAAGTTAAACACATTTGGACAGTGAAGGAATGTCAGGATTCTTGCTCAGAAAAAGGATCAACATGCTCTGAAGTCAGTTCAGCCACAAAAACTTTTTTGTAACAAAATATCGATTTCTGCTGTCCCTGTATCGATACATTATTAGCAAACAAAATATCACGATACTACACAGTATCGATTTTCCCCCCACCCCTAATATATAGTGTGGTAATAGTCAGGCATCGTTGTGTGTGTGTGTGTGTGTGTGTGTGTGTGTGGTGTGTGTGTGTGTGTGTGTGTGTGTGTCGTGTGTGTGTGTGTGTGTGTCTGTTTTTGATTTTGTTTGTGTATATATATGTGTTTGTGTGTGTGTGTGTGTGTGTATATATATCATAAATGAAGGATAAGCCAGATGTATCTTTTTGTATTTGTCCAACAGAAGGGGAAGGTGAAGGAGGCTGCACAGCGTTATCAGTACGCTCTCAAAAAGTTTCCACGCGAAGGCTTCAGCGAGGACCTTAAGACATTCAGGGAACTCAAAGTATCGCTCTTCCTCAACCTGTCCCGATGTCGAAGGAAAATGAACGTAAGTCAGCAGAAAAGCAGCAACAGTGAAAAACACTAAATTGTTAAAACTGAAGGATGTTACTAAAGCCTATGATGGTTAATGATACTATTGGCCACATGTCAATTTCTCTCACTGTTCTGTAGTGTTCATTATTCTTCTCCTGTGCTTAATCTCTCCAGGACTTTGGGATGGCTGAGGAATTTGCTACTAAAGCGCTCGAACTGAAACCAAAATCTTATGAGGCATACTACGCCAGGGCACGCGCCAAGCGTAGCAGCAGGTACACTCATTTTTATCCTTGTACAGATCAGAAGAATGCTTTCCTTTTTCCTTACCCCTTTCTCCGTGGTCTTCCTTTTTAAAGGATCTCTATATTCTTCCCCCAGATTTTACAGTTTTGTGTAATTTGCTTTATTTATTTATTTATTTATTTTCTATTATTTTAGACAATTTCCTGAAGCCTTAGAGGACCTGAATGAAGCCATAAAGCAGTGCCCCAATAACAGAGAAATCCAGCGGCTGCTCCAGAGGGTGGAAGAGGAATGCCACCAACTTAACCAGGAGGAGCACCAGCAGCAGGACCTGGAGCTGGAGCCTCCTCCCTCACCCCCTCCTACACCTCCCCCAGAAGAGGAGGAGTCCCTGTCTCTGTCCATGCCTCTCCCCCCTCCACCAGAGCCCCGTCTGGAAGACATGGAGCCCGTACAGGACTTGTTTGAGGATGAGGACTACCTGGAGCAGGAGCTGGAAGCCATGTCGATGGGTCTGCCCCCACCCGAGTCCCTCTCAAATCCCTCCAGCCTTCCTATAATTCAGAGTCCACCCCTCTCCCCCACACATCCAGATCAGATTTACTTGGCTGGAGGCTCACCCATGGGCCAGCCCTATGAATACCACCCCACCTCTTCCTCCATGTCCTCCCCAACTCGGGGCTCCTACCAGCCCACGTCACCCTCCCTCTCTCCAACACATCAGAACTCCCATTACAGACACAGTCCCCCTCACACCTCCCCAGTACACCAGCCATCCTACCGCTTCAGCCCACCTCCTATGGGTACCGGGGGTCAGGGGATGGATCACCAGAGCCCACCACCTTCCCCTTTACGTCGGGCTGCTCAGTATAGAGCCAGTCCACCGTTAGAAAGTGTTTGTCTGTACAGGTCTCAGTCTGGGTCACCTGTGCGCTATCAGACAGAGCAGCTTCCTGGAAGACCCAAATCTCCCCTCTCCAAGATGAGCAGCCAACGTTCTTTCCAGCTGAGTTCGCAGCCCTCTTTATCCTCACAACACCACCAAGCCCAAGGCCTCCGTCTGCAGCCTTCCATAGCCCAAATAGTCCGCACAAACCAGCCCAGCAACGTAATGGGAAATAGTAGTTATGGTGGCCAGATGGGCCACTCCATGGGTGGTCGCTATCAAGGGGGTTCGGTGGATGTAGAGAGCCGCTTGGTGTACCAACCCTCACTGGATGGACGGTCAATGTCCCAAGTCCAGGCCAGCCTCAGTTCTGGGGCCCTCTGTCAGCACGGCGGCCGAGGAGGGGTTATGGAGTCGAGCCTGTTGAAGGATGAGCTACCCCAGCGCCCCTCCTCTGCCTACCGCGCCAGCAGTGGGGGCCCGGGGGGCATCCGTTACAGCCAGACACCTCAGATAAGCCGCAGCCAGTCAGCCGCCTACTACCCAGTCTCTGAACACGTTCTTGAGCGTGCCAATGCTATGCCCCCCTGCCAGCTGGGCTCTCCCGAGATCCCCCATATGGTTAGACGCCCTGTGAGTGCCAATACTACTGAAATGAAGCAGCATGTGCCCACCCCTAGGCCTCTCATCCATTCTCAGAGTGTAGGCCTTCGATTCTCACCTTCCAGCAACAACATCTCAACTGGATCCACCTCGAATTTAGCCCCGGGTTTCAGGCCTTCCTCTTCCATTCAGCAGATGGAGATTCCCTTACAAGCCACATACGAGCGCACCTGTGATGACATCTCTCCCATCTCTCCCTCCCAGGGTGGTGGGGGGTTGTATCAGGGAGAGACCACTCGCTCCCGCAATACGCCTTTTATGGGGATCATAGACAAGACGGCTCGGACTCAGCAGTACCTGCATCAGCCCTCACGGTCCAGGGCAATGACATCTATGGACTCTGCCATCAGCCCCACCTCCCCCGGTCAGCTGGTCCAGCAAGGTTCCACCTACAGTCCCCCCGCCTCACTGGGTAATATCGCCTACTACAACAAGACCAACAACGCCCAAAACGGACATCTGTTAGAAGAGGATTACTACTCCCAGACTCAGCCCCCCTCTCTGGGAAAGCTGGCCAATGGCTCCCGTGGCAGTGGGGACATCCTGGAACGGGTCAGCCAGGTGCCCACCTACCCAGACGTGAAGGTGGCGAGGACTCTGCCCGTGGCACAGGCCTACCAGGACAACATGTACCGACAGCTCTCGCGTGACTCCCGGACCCAAGGCCCCACCTCCCCCATCAAACCAAAGAGACCATTTGTGGAGTCGAATGTGTGATGGCCTGTCTGTGATTGGATGGTTGGACTGGGCTTGTTAGTGGAACTGAGAGAGTAAAAAATATTTAGCTCGACAGAAGATGTGATGGGGTGTGTGTGTGTCATGGACGAACTCATCTCAACGAACTCACTAGAGAAAGAAAACCACAAAGCCAACAAACACACTTTAGGGTATTAGACATTATCTTATATGAAAAACATAACGATGAGAAGTGATTCTTTCAATATCATAATCTGCAAACAGGTAGGATAACAGGAGGATCGCAAGTTCTAATCTAAATCAGAGACCAGATCACTTCCGACACGTGGCACATTGTCCCCACGTGTGACCACATCAGGTGGGACTCCAAGAGTGAAAGTACTACCCATCGGACTCTACTTGTGGACTCTGTATCCATCTTCTGTTCTTTCAAAGTGTGCTCTTAACCAAGGTTGCTAGTAGGCTCTATTCTATGTAATACAATATTATATGTTCAATACTGTACATTGCTCAGAAAATACAAATGGCTCAACAACTCAGTACTTAGAGAAAAATGACAATATTTATAATTAAGTTATATATTGTACATAAAAAGAAAACAAAACATAGTTTGCATTTTGAATTTTATTCTGTTAACCCTGCCTCTGTGTCACACTGCAAGTCATACGGATGTGGAAAACCGACCGGTGGACAAGGGACACAGACAAACTTTGACTGATGAAGTTACCTCTGTTGTGTCAAAATAAAAAGAATTTTGCTATAATATAATGCAAGCGAATGTGTCAACCTGCAGATTATTTTTTGATAGATTAGTTAGAAAATGATAAAGTTATCATTCCCACTTCCCCAGCAACATCTTCACAACATATTTTGCTCTATCGGCAAACCAAAAGAGTTTAAGGAGAAAGCAGAAGAGCAACAAATCTTCACCGTCTTTTAAATTATATCAGTCGATAATCACAGTAATTAAATATGTATTGTCTGTCAGGCAATAATAGCAAATTATTTTGGCTGCAACTTGTCTTTCACTCAGTTGGGTGCTTTTATCAAATGGCAGAAAAATCAAAATCAAAGTTTGCCTCTGTCCCTCCTCCGTGTGAGCGATGGTGGAAAGTACTCAGCGACTAAAAGCAAGCAAATGCATACACAACCACTGTTACCAACCTTTCCCTTTCTTCTGCATTGTTTTTATGATTTCTTTTAAATCATAATGCATTTTTATTCAGCCACTTCTGCACTAAAATGCCTGACAAGGTCTTAACTAATGGTGCACTTTATGTATTTTACTTACTTTGTTGTTACGATTGTTACATTAGGAGTAAGTGAAAGTGGGCGTGTGATCCGTCAGATCGCTGATCAGTGCTAACCAGACTACGACAGACACTTATTATGTGAATTGCAATGCAGTGGTGAGTGACAATGTTCAGAATCTGGGATGATATATAAACTTTCTAGCACAAGAGGTATGTATTGGCTCAGATATTTCACTCTGTCCAGTTCAGGTTTGTTAGATAGTTTGTCTGTTTAGAGAGGCAAATCATACTTAAGTAACTCCACCTCATAAAAATATATTCCTCTAACTCTAAATCACTGGTTTTGACACTATGTCCACTGGCACACGTCTTCTAAATAAATCGAACCTACTGCAACAACAAAAGCCTGAGATTTCAGTATCCAGGAGCTCTGTAATTTGGAGTTTGAGTCATAGAGATGATGAATAATGAAAATATTGAAGTAATTTATATATGTGGGAATGATTATAGACTATTTGTCTGTAACATTTTATTTTGGATGTCTGATAAAGAATAAATGGAGACAGTTGTCCTCAGTTTCACCTGCTACTGGAGAGAAGCCCTACTTAACTTTACAGAAATGAAGGTATAAACTGTATTATACTTAATTTAAACAGGACTTTTTAAGTTGAGGTTATTTGAGGGTGTATGGTTTCAAGCTATCTGTGTATATTAGTTCGCTGTAAATAGTCTGATGCATGTTCTATTCTTTCCATGACCTCAAGCAGAAACATGTATAGCAGTGTCTCTGGTGTGTGTGTGTGGTACAACGTTTGGATTAAGATGAGGAGACTGCTATCCCCCGAACTTATCCTTGTCATTTTCCCTCAACCACGCCAGACAAAAAAGTTCTTTTTATTTTATTTTAACATATTTGCTTGCTGAGCAGAGTTCTCTTGTCTGTAAATGTGAGCTTTCAGATCGCTGTGAAGTTTAATTAAAAACAATAAAAAAGAATGTGTTTTTATCTCATGATAACTGATTGTAATCTGTACAGTCGAACATATGTATTGGAAAAAAGGAGAACATATTTATAAATGGTTACCAACTGAAACACGCCCTGCATGTCAATCATTTATTTTTTTACTGATTTGGGAATAACATAGGAATGTAGCTTTCAAGTTTTTCGGTCACAAAGCAATAACACAAAACTGAGCATCAGACATCTGCACAATGTTCAAATTCTTTGCCTTTCACTAGTCGCAAATCTGAGGTTTTAAACCTCGGTAACAATCTTTGACTCGTAAAGATTCAAACAACACAAAATGCACATAAACAAAGTTGCACTTTTCCCAATAAAGTCGATATTTAGCAAAAATACTGTAGTATTTACAACACTTATGATTGCACTAGATTCACTAGAGACATACTTTACGCCACAATGTCTCAATACCGGCACTTTTAAAATCATCAAATAAGAGGAAAAACACAGGTCACAGACTGGATAAAAGGCCATTGTTTAGTGAATTTTAAGACGTGAAAATTAAACTTAACCCATACCCATCAAAATGGTTCTGAAACGCAGCGAACATTAAATGTGTTTATACAAACTCTGAAGGAAACTCCAGTTTTGGGAGGTGTTTAAGGTGCACATCATGTGTGGAGGAACTCTTCTAGTCTTTCTTTTTTTTGAATGTTAATAGGTGTACCAGCCCAGGCACAAGTACCATAACGATCAGAGGCACTAGGACGAATTTGACAAAGAACAGGCTGTAGAAAAGGCCCAGTGGTCGGACTGGGAGCGGTAGACGATTCACGTGGTAAAGACCCATGGATGATACAGCCATAGACAAAGCTCTGGGAGCCCAAGGTAGAGACCATCCACCAGGCTTCCAGTACTGTGCTAGCCCCAAACCCAACAGGGCCCCACAGTCTCGGGTGAGAGAGGAGAATGGGGCTGTGTCTAAACGAATCCATTCTGCATGGCTGCACCATTTCTTGGCCAAAGCAATAGACCTGTTGAATCAAAAACATGACCGGTCATGGAAGGAAGTCCCTTTATATTATCACAATATATACTGATCAGACTCACTGATTAAACATTAATGTAATAGAGTAACTCACCAGGAGAGGTCAATTCCCAGCTGCTTTAATCCAGCATGGAGCATCAGAGCTCCGAACAGCAGCCCAAAGCTTAAACTAAAGAAGAACAGCAGGGGGCGACCTTCTGGTACTCTGCAGCTCAGGACAATCCCCAGAATGAAACCTGACAAAAATATTTCATCAGATTAAGCTGCACACATGGGAAAACTACCCTATGGGTCTGACAAATCCAATTATGAAATTCTTTTTTGGGAACTACAAAAATCCTGTAGAATTGCACGGATAGTTGATAGCAAGCAGCTCAAAAACCAGCACAAGTGATGATGGAGTGCACTAGTTCTACATCTGTGTTAGAAATATTAACACTGAATAATGTTTTGGAGCAATCGATGCTTTGATTCAGGGGACACCTGTTTTAGGAGGGGCATCAATCATTTCAGCAAATCACATTCTGCAGCACAGCTGCATATTTACACAATCTAGGTCTTAAACATTCTTGCCTGTAATCCATTAGAGTCAGTCAGTGAAAATATTTAGTGTATTTTGAATTTAAACCTGTATGATTTGCAGCTGTGATCATATATCAAACAAAAATGGCTTTTACACTTTGGAGATCACTGCATTTGGCTTTTAATATACTTTTTATAAAGTGCCTCGCCTTTTTCAGAAATATGATTTTTGCATAATATGTATTCAGACCTGTAATGGAGCCAGCAACGACCTGATGAGGAAAGTGTGCGAGGATAAAGATCCTGGAGATTCCAACTGCAACAAGCATCACCACATAGAGGACGTAGGGAGCAGCTGATAAGAGAACACTCCGGATTCAGAAAAGGAGAGATTTGTTTAAAAGTAGTTCCAATGTGCAGCAGTTTTGTGCATTTTTAGAGCCAAAGCAGCATACTGCACTGGATTTAGCTTAAACAGGGACGTACCTGTGAGAACGGGAGTACAGAAAGGACCCCAGCGAGGACACAATGACCCACCAGACTGCTGCTGTCACCATCGCATGTCCAGACGGACTGCCTGAGAAACAGATGCCAACTTTGGACTTGGAGATCTGAATGTTTGATGATTTAAGGACATTGGCTATGACTCAGACACAGTCTATTTTTCTAAGACAACTTCTAACCTGGGCCTGTTTCACAGGTGGACGGAAACTGGTGAATTTTCGGTTGCTTGTTGACAAAAAGACGCGATTCACCGATCCACCAGAATGGCCTCTCTCCAAACAGCAACCTGATTAAAAATAAATATAATATATAAATACATTTACACACACCCCAAATAACACAAATACATTCAAGGTCATGGCTTCACTATATTTTACTACATTTAATACGGTTTTTAACTTGTTGAATCTAAGACTTTTTTTCTCCAAAAGCCTCTACATATTTACTCTTCATTCTTCTTTTTACTTTACTAAATCTTATTTAGTTCAAAGTTCCTTACTGTATTATATTTGGCTTCTCTATACCTCTCCATGAACACTCGCAGAAAATAATTAGTGTAATCAGAAATATCTAAATCAAAATAATACATGGCTTTTAAAAATCTATATTATGTCCATAGTAGTTTAGTTGTATTGTTTCTCTACTTGGTACATTTGTAATGTCTTTTGTATTTTTCCTTTTTTTTCCTAAATTGTTGAGGATTTGGGGCTTCATTTTTTCTATGCATGTTCCTCTGTCTTTTGCATGTTTTCCTTAAATTGATCTTGTTTTATTTCAAGTTTTTAATGGTATAATGTAAATGCATTTATTATAATGAAAAAAATGTATTTGTAATAACATTGTAACAACAATGTTATTAGTATGCAGGATCGCACCAAAGTATATTTCAGATCTTGAGATCCTCAGCTAAGGCTGCTCTGGCCACCCCATAATCTCAGCTGGAAACCAAATGTGTTCAGGCTTTTTCTGTCAGGACACCCTTTCTCTGGTACAATCTGCCTGAGGAGATTTAGCTCATTATAATCTTTTAAATTTCTTAAAGAGACGTTTTACGAGCATTCTTTCCACTTCGTGTTACCACTTTGTTGTCTCTCATATTTGCTTTATTTTATATTCGTATTTGCTTCTTTTAGTAATCATTTTTTAATTTACTTATTTTCGGTCTTTAATTCTCCCGTTTATCTTTGCGTTCTCAGTATTCATATACCTTATGTTGTTTAATTTTTATTTCTTATTAAACGTTTTATTTGCTGTTTCCTATCTCACCTTGTGAAGCATTTTATAACTTTGTTATTATCCATCTATTCCCTAAAATTTAATCCGTTGACAATTTTGGTCAAATTTATGTTATATGGTTACTTCTTGTTTTTAATTTCCGTTTCTTTTCGTCACTTTTCTTGTTACACTCCAGGCTGTTTGTGGGGAAAATTCCATTGAACGGTCCCAAAGGTTCCGCTCATTTCTGTTTCACGTCGGACTAATACAGGGTTGTACTACTTTGCTGTACCGGAAGCAAAGACTAAACTAAAATTATTTTTATGTTTAAACTGGAAAAAATGAACATGTGCAGGCGGTCTTGAATATATAATTAACAATTTTAATGTGAAAAAAGTTATGTATGTAATGTAGCAACATGCTAGCATGAGACATACAACCGCAATGGTAAGTGTAAAAACTAAGTTGGACGGGAATATTCAAATCGTGCTTCATTAAAACGCCTTACCATTTGAACACTAAGTTTAACCACTCCGATATAGCTGCCATCCAAAGCACCGCTACCCCAGCTCTCCTGTTGATGAAATAAGTAAAAGGAAAGACGAGCAAAAAGGCTGCTTTAGGGTCTCCCATATGAGTGACCGTAAGCCAGAATTTCTCCTGAGTCTTCGTCCTCTGCTGGAGACCTTCGGCCATCCAGACGCCTTGGGTATAAATCTCCTCCATTCCTTTCTGCCTTCTCCCAGTACAAACACTTTGATATGTAGATGGAAATCTAAAGACAGCCCTTTATTTGATGTGTTACAATGAATTCCACAGTACTGCTCTACATCCGGTAGGGGGCGGGGCACATCGGAAGGCGGTTCAATGGGAAACAAAGCGACATCCTTCGTCGAAGAGAGAAGTTGTATTCGTAGTAGTTCTGCAGTTGAAGACCTTAGTTAGTGATTCAATGACACAACTTTACTTAAACTAGATTTGATTTGGCAGGAATTATAATTCATCACATTAGAAGAAACGATCGACGTACTTTTGTTACGCTCAGGTTTCGTCTCCATACGACATCGCGTCGCTTTACGTAAAGCAGGCGCTCCGGTTTCCTGGCGGAGAAGATGGCGGCTCCTGGACCCGGGGAGTATTTTAGCGTCGGGAGCCATGTCGCATGCGTCACATGCTTGGGCCAACGTCTGCAAGGAGAAGTTGTCGCGTTTGACTACCAGTCCAAGATGTTAACTCTGAGTATCCTTTTGTTTGTTTCGAGCTGCGGATGGAGGGGTTGCTGGCCTGCCTGGCTGCAAGGGCCTGTAGGGTAACCGAAATGTGGCAAATAGTGATCCGCGCAGGCGTAATTGGTGCTAGCAGAAGCACACACGTTTGCCCGTTTTATATATTTTCTTGTTTCAGATAGCACCTCATCTATCTTCTGTCTGTATAAGCCTTTAGTTGGGGTTGCCTGGTAATTTCTTGGCCTCTCGTTAGCCGCTCTAGCAGCGCATGTGTTTTGAATCCACTCATTGTATTGCCAGCCCTCAACATGGATCACTATCTGGCAACGAATCCTCGTAAGGCATCATGGCTGTGTGCTCTCAGCAGGCACAACCGTTGCTAGTTAGCGAGCTAACTGATACTGGGAGAGTCTCGCGTGTTGATGGTCCACATATTGACCTCACATGGTTGGTGGTGCCATCAGCCGGAGATGCTCACGATTATTTGTACAAGTTAGAGATTAAGTGGTTTCCGAGTCCACGCTACACAATCAGGGTGCTTTTAGCATGTTAGCATGCTAGATTTCGGTCAACCCCACACTGCAGCTACTGGCTAGCTCAATTAACGGGTTTGGCGTTCTCAAGCTTATCAGCTGGGCTGTAAATATTGTGTGATTGTGCCACAGTTCATTTTAACATGAGTCATTTGGGTGGGAGTAATAACTTACTTACTAACACTAGTTTGCTGGCGAACATGTCTACACCCATCAGTGTGAGTGAATGAGTGAGTGAGCGAATGTGCATCTTATCATGTTCCTTTATCTCTGATCAGAGTTAATTGCACAGACTCGAGAGGTTATCGTGTAGTTGTCGTCATTGTGGACAAACTTTGAGGTGATTAAATCAAATGAAGAGTGGGGAGCGCTTAGAGCTGATACTCATGGTCTTTCTAAGTGTTAGTTTAACACTAAAAACACTTTGTGACGTTATCTGAGCTGCAGAAACGCCTGGACACCTACTTTCAGCTCTACAATGTGTGATAATGACGTTATAAACGTGTAAGTGTGCTCAATAGCCATACAGGCATTGTATGTATTGTATGACTAATCGAGGTAATATGTTCACATGCTAAGTTTGAATGCAAGGCCTGTGTAAAATCAGATGACTATTCTTATGTATTTATCGACTTTCAGACAGTCGTTTCCAATGTATTTATTGCAAGAATTCGGTTTATTCATCAACAGAAGTCATAACTTAAGTTGTTTTTTTTTATGGATCAGTTTGCCAAAAAACATATACCGCTCAGTTAGATCTAATGTTCATAAATGGTGTGCCTTGGGATTTGGTGAGCTCCATCTATTATTTAAGCAGCTGCACTAGAACTTAATGAGTTGAATTTATATTTGCTAAATTAGCGAACTTCTAAGGTCCCAAAAGATGGTGAGGAAAACAGGACAGTGGATCACTGTATTTTGTGAACCAGAGAGTGGGCAATCCCCTGCCTATACAAAAGAGACTATCTGTGAATGACAGTATTATCTTTCAAGACAAGTTGACTAATCTTAACATTATTCCAAGACGGGATACTTAAACCCACACTCGATTTGAATTGGAGGCAGACAGTTTGTTGGAATATCTGTGGAGGGAAACTATATGGGAGTAGAACTTACTGCAAAGTGCAAAAGGGCTATTTTGCTACAGGCGTGCTATCATAAGTGTATAGTCAAAAGAAGAACTGATTGCATGGAGGATGTTCTATGCAGATGTGAATTCATGTGTGCCATGAAATGTTGGTTTGCTCTTAGGTGCACAAAACCTTTTAAAACTGCTGCTGTGATATAGAACCCAGAGCGAAACAAAAATCAGAGTACGGTAGTACTGATGTTACGCTTGAGTTCCCAAGTCAGCAGTTTACTGTTTAAGTAAAATTCCCTGAGAGTTGTTATAACTAGTTACTGTACAGTGAGAGGACACTTTACATGTTATGACTTAAATAAATAACAAACAGGCAGTGTTAAAGCCCAAACAATGTGTGTATTTCCGGTCAGTCATAGAGCGAGCCAGCCCTGTATTAAGTAGCAATAATAATAACACTTTAGTAATGTAGCTCTTTTTGAGACTTGGTTACAATAAGCTTCACAATCAGTAATCAGCAAGAGAAGGTAAAATGGTAACAGCAGCAAGTAAACACTGAAAAACTTGGATAAACTTGATATGACGGGTAATAAATAAATCAATGCAGTAATAATAAATTAAAGTGGAGTGGTGATAAAGCAATTTCACTCGCTAAAAGCCGTTATGGTAAGTTGTAGATACTGGGTTTGCTGACCTCGTTATGGGTGCTTCGTGACTGTGGATCAGTACATGGTTTTTTTGCAGTTTTTCCTCTCATAACACATTTTAGCCATCTCCATTCATTCATAGATGCTACAGGTGGCAGCAATGCTTTCGGTAGTCCCATGCTGTAACTGGCACTACCTTTCACTGTCAGTGTTTGTCAGCCAGTGTTCTCTGAATAATGAGCTTCTCTGTGCAGAAAACCAATGTCCCAAGTTCTTCAAGGGGACAGATAATAGTCATTTTTGTTCTGTCATTCACTGTCACAAAGTTGTTTGCCTTGACCTAAGTGCCTTCAAAGAATGTGCTTCCTCCAGTGGTAAGCCAAACCTCAACGACGTCATCCTGATCAACTTAGCCTATGTTTCTGATGTGGACATTATAAATGACCGCACTGAGACTCCACCCCCTCTAGCATCACTGAATGTTAGCAAGGTAAGTCCAATAATTTATTTTCTTTTTATACCATTTATTGGTTTTTATGCCTCGGGTTACATCAAGTGTGGTGGGTGTCAGGCGCTGTTGGTGAATGGGCCAGGATATCTCCTAACTTTACAATGAGGATTGCCTGAATGCTCCAAAAATACTTGGCCCTCAGTGAAATACTGTATTCTTTTGGCCAAAATGCATTTGCCGTTTCGGCTGCGTTTTGAAGAGGCTGTGAAATGGGGCTGGCATCGTCAGTAGGTCTAGAAATAGACTTCTGAGGATTGAGACCCTGATTTGGAAAATTGGAACGCAGCAGAAATAAAAGTCAGTGTTTATAGATTATTTCCCTCCCCCCACTTAAATAAAGTAAGCCCAAACTGAGGCCGTGAATAAATGGAGACATGTCGAGGGTGTTTAAATGCTGAGATATAAACACTGCCTCTGTAATCCTATGCGGGAAAGTGAAATGCACTTTTATATAAACCAAGTTCACTGCTGGAGTGCTGAACCTAAAATCACAATTGGAACCTGAAATTTAGTTTTTGCAGTTAAAAGAATAAGCTGTTCTTGTTTCAGACCAAATATTTGATGTGCCTAAAGAAAAAAAAATTAAATAAAAAAATGCTGTGTGTTCTGTTTTAATCTTTACAGCTTGCCAATCGAGCACGGACAGAAAAAGAGGACAAGCTGTCCCAAGCCTATGCAATCAGTGCTGGGGTTTCTGTGGAGGGCCAACAGCTATTCCAGACTATTCACAAAACGTAAGGACTTATGCTACTGTTCATTCACTTCACAGGTCAGATGGGGGTAAATGTTCACCTGATCAGGTCAAATTTTTCACTGCATACTATATGTATCATTGACCACTAATTTGTGAGTATTTTATTCCACTCGTGGCTGAAATCACTTAAAGATCTTCATCATTCAATCAAAATCAATGGAAGGACACTCACTGACCATCTTGAATCCTACAAAGAGATTATAACAACAAAGACTTTTAATGTCATGTCAAAAAGGGAAGTAAAATATTCAAAAGAAAAACTAACAGTTCAGCAGAATCATGCTGCTTATTTAGAAAACAGAAAGCAATGACATCATTTTTTTCCTTTTAAAAAAGCTGACTTTGAAAGTTTGAAATGTGAACTAATATAATTTTTTCTCTAGCCATGTTAAAAATGAAAAATTCAGTGTACACATCTGTACTTTGTGCAGATGTGTACACAACAGTGAAAACAAACCAGTAAACTTGCTGTTTGAAGAATTAGATTGAATTTTAAATACATAGATTTTTTTTTTTTTTTCCCATTGCCAAAACTTTCAGGGATTTTCTTGATAGTTTAATAACCTCACAGTTGCATCAGAGCGAAGCTCTTGCCAGCATTTAGATACAGTTATGACCGTATTTATTTGGACAGAATGGACAATGACAACTTTAATTTTAGCTACACTGAAACCTGCTTCAAGTTACATTTATACAACTGGTGTATAAATCTTGGCTTTCCCAAAAAGTTGATCCTGTTCATCTGGACTGGTTTTCAGCGGGAGAAACGTTTCATCACTCATCCAAGTGACTTCTTCAGTCTTAGCTGACTGCAGGTCTCCCCAACTTTATAAACAGTACATTTGCAAAGTGACTGAAATACTAATGATCAAGGAACTGACCTCACAGCCCATTGTTCCTTCAGTGGGCTAGTTTCAGTCCTTCAGTTTCAGTCTGATCACAGTTTTTTATAAATTAAGCAGGTAAAAAGTCTGGTGATCATCGTGGCTTTAGAGTTTGGAAGCTGTTTCTGTGAATCTACGACATGTGATCAAAGGAGCTGTCAATGCAGGCCAGAAAGATATGTCTGAGACATCATAGAC